CACTTTTGGCTGGAGTTTAAAGGGTACTAGTACTTAGTATCACCATTCACTTGTGGTTGGAGTGATCACGATTTTTCACGTTTTTGCTTTTATTTTATTTATTTAAATTTTATTTAGTATTTATCCGGATTAATATTTAATTAATTTAATTTGCACAATTTTGATGTGTTTTGAGTTGTGCACAGAGTGAAGTATATAAGTTTATATTTCAAGGGTAATACACTATGGATTTTTCTCTTTTCTTTTTTTCTTTGAGGTTATCAAGGAGTATTTTGAATTGTTTTTGCTTCACTGGACTTATAAGAAAATATTTTGGAAACTATTTTTGGGACTTGGACATTTTGGGGTTTATTAATATATTGGAGATATATATATCTATTCTACTTACTTGGAATTGTGTGGTTTTATTTATATATTTGGAGGTATTTTAGGTGATTTAGATGTGTATCACAAAAAGAATTTAGTAAATTGTATACTTTCTAGGGAGAAAGTAGTGTTTTTGTGGTAGTGGTGCAATTAAGGAGTTTATTGATTGATTATAACAGAATCTTCCCCAAGATGCTGCTGATTAAAAAATAGTGTTCAGCTGCTAAAAAGCTGTTGATTAAAGCTATTCGTTAAAAAATACTGTGACCCCCCTCCCCTTGTTGCTCCCACAGTTTCAGGATGGAGAGCAGGAAGCGAGTCAGTAAATATGTTTCTCTTATTGTTACTGACCCCTTATTTTCCTTCCTCAGTGAACACTTTGGGTGATCAGTTCCAGTCCACTCCTGTGTGCATTCATAACGGAAGTATAGTAAACCGTGTTGGGCTGCTGAGGAGCAGATTAAGGACTCTGCGTCTCCAATCTCTTTATCTCAAAAGTGGAACATCAGGGGTCGGTTTAGAGCTCCTGATGTTTCACCTTACAGGAGTGTAAAAAACAATTTGAAAAATGTAAACAGAAAAATTGTAAAAAATAAATATGAAATAATACCTCTTTCACTCTCCTACAGACTGCTGCTTAGGGCTTTAGGCAAGCACTAGTGATTCCCAGGGGCAAAAATATGCTCCTCCTTAACACGGTACAGCCCTTTGCAGCTGTGAGAACAATGCCTGAAACACCCCTCCACACACAAATTACACTTTCATATCACGTGCACTACAGTGTGTGGGCACGCTGCATTGTGCATTGCCACTTTAAGGGCCCATTCACATCAGCAGGCATGCGTTGTGGTGCACATAACCTGCATGTGCTGGTGTGTGTTGTGTACAAGAGTTGCAGTGCATTGTTACAATGCATCACAGTGCTTGATTTGTTTTTTTTTTAAATTGCATTCATTCAACTCTAGGTGCAGCAATGCACTGTATGAAGTGTTGCTGAGTGCTTTGCAATAAAATGTATGCCTTTATCAGTCACAATGCACAGCAGTGCAGTGTATACAATGCGATTGGTTGTTGCAACAATGCCTCCACAACCTCCAGATTTTTAGTGCAAGTTGCTTTTTTATAGTTTTTGCCTTTTTTGATTTTCACCATTTCACAAAAAAAGCACAATTTAAAATTTTCAAATATTTGTTATTTAAAAAAAAAACAAAAAAAACTTATATTTAGTAGCAATTTTGTAGGTTTTGTTTTGTTTCTGAGTGCTAGTAATGATTTTAATGTATTTTTATTGAACAAATAATTTGATAAACATTTGTACAACTATAACTGGACTTATAAAATCAGTAGCACCATCTTTTTATTCTTATGGCTCTGTGCTATCCGAAAATATATACGGTTTTAGAGGTCTTTTACAAACTCTGACAGCTCAAAGCAAAAAATGAGAGGGAAAAAAATTGAAAAGTTGCAAAAATGGTCTAACCACTAGTTTAAAGTAGAATGCAGGGCTTGGAAGCAAAAGGGTTAAAACTTCAAAAAAAAAAAAAATGTTCTTTTACACATAAATGTTGCCTTTTGCTACCATATTAAAATATCCCACTTTTAATTTACTATTTGAGTTTGTTTGTATGATATCCAGTTGTACAAAACGTCCACATTTTTTTTTTTTGGGGGGGGGGGGGTTATTTCTTTGCATACTGAAGGAAACTAATAACTCTCTCTCCCTCCTCTCCCCTTCCCCTATGGTTACACAAGAACCATGTTAAAGAAATGTTCTTTTAAAAGTAGATTATCTTGTATTTATCCATCCTTCCTTCTTTTTTTCTTTTTTTTTTTTTTTTTTTCTAATGGAAAAAAAAACAAAACCTTTCACGTACTGCAGTTATGCATTAATTTGTGCTGAGTGCGTTTCGGTGGTTCTTGGAAAAATATTTTAAAAGTGGAGCAGTTTTTGTTGCTCTGAAGAACGTAGACATGGTGAGTGCAATTGATCTGTAAAACACAGTGCAGCCAACAATGTCTGGACTCGTGCCTGCATCACCCCCGCCTGTCATAAGCTTTGCTGCTACTTGCCAGCTAACCAGCCATTTCCACGTTGTTCAGAGTTCAGGTTACCACCCTCAGTCCTGATGGAGAGGTCCAGAAATTTTACCCTTAAAGATGAAATGAATATACAGGAAGTCTATGCTAGCTAAGAAAGGGGGGGGGGGGGCAGATTTATGGGTTATTATAGTTCATTGATACTACCAAAATCATATGGTCTACAGGAGCAGAGAGTTAGGTCTGCCTTGTCCGCTTTTTGCATTGGTGATTTATATAATGAAACTCTGACCCACTATAAAGAGTATCACTTATTAAAAACCTAATTAGGGCAGCAGTGCTTCTGTCTTTGACCCCTTCAGGCCTAAGGGTTAAGCGAATCTTAAATCCTCAGCACAATTTTGCAACTTTGACATGTGTTAGAAAAACTACATATCATTACAACTACTTTGTGCATACAGGTGGATTATACCTTGGTTTTTTTCGGGACAAATTGGGCTTTCATTTGGTGGTAAATGGTAATGGATATCTCCATGATTTTTTTTTTTTTTTTATTTAGTTGTATATTTCTGGCTACTACCATAACCAATCACCAAAGAACAGCCCAAAATAATTTCTCCTGCTTCTGACAATCGCAGCGATACCGCATATGTGTATGTTAGTTTTTGTTTGTACCCGTAGTACGGCCCAGAAACAATAGTGCACGTTTTGGGGGTTTTTTGTTGTATTTTATCCTGCCACTAACACAATTTAAAAAAAAAAAAAAAAAAAACCCTGACAAAAAAAAAATAGTGACCTTGACCCAAACATGAACCCAGGCAATGACCTAGATCAAACTTTGATCTAGGTCTTTTTATTAATTTCTTTATTTTATTTTTTTTATTATTTGTATTTATTTTTTACAAACACTTTTTTTTCTCTCTGAATGGAGGATAGAGATACATTGTATCTCTCTCTGTCGGTTCAGAGAGAAAAAAAAGTGTTTGTAAAAAATAAATACGAATAATAATAAAAAAAAGAAAGCAAGGAGGCCAAGCTGTACAGTGAGTGATCACTGTGATATGCAATCAGAGGCTTTCACAGCGATCATGTGATCCAGAATTGGGAGTTCTGGGTCCCGATCGTTAGAATGGGACTTGGGGCTGTCACTCACACCCCAGTGTTTGTGCTGGGAGCACTCCTCGTGGCGCGCGCCCAGCACAAAGACAGGTACGCAAATTAGCGGCCCCGCTGAAAAAAGCCCAGTCCAGTGGGGCTGCTAATTTGCAAACACTTGGCGCCAGGGGGTTAAAGGTATATTAAATACATTTTAAACTCTATATAAGCATGTCTTTCAGTTTGCTTCAGTTTGCTTTGTTCACTGTAGTCAAGGTTCTTGGCATCATACTAAGGGTTCATGTACACTGCAGCTGATAAACTCACGTTTAGGAGTTGTTCAGCGTTTTTTTTTTCCAGCAGCCCCTGAACTCGCCATAATGTTTTCCTATGTGTCCATGTACACATCTTCGTTTACAATCGTTTACAGGCATTTGAGTTTACATTCGTTTTTTTTAACTCAGAAAACTTGCGTTTAGCAGTCAATTTTATCAACATTTTAAAAACACGGCTAAACGCGGCAAATCACATTTATAAGCGTTTGTGTTTGAAATTTTTTTTTACTTTTACAGTTCCCGATGCTGTCCAAAGTCTTTTTTCATCATGAAAAATGCATGCAAAGCATTTTCCCAGTACTCAAATGGACCTGGTACACTATACTTTGATGTTTCGCATGGAATAAAATGTTAGACACTGCTGCAATAATTTCTGCACAGAAATGAGCTGGAACACATCCAAACACCAAACAAAAAAAGGCTGCTAATCTCAACAAATGCTGCTCTCTCTGCTTCTGCTCTCTCTATTTCTCTCAAAATATCTGAACTAGTTAATTATTTATTGTTTTTAAGTACTTTCTGGGCATTTTGGAAGGTCTTCTGAGGTTATCTTAAAAAACGCTTCTAAACGCAAACGCTTCTAAACGTGCATAAATGCGATATGCAAACGCAGCTAAACAGACGTTTTTTGTTTTATTTTATCTACGTTTTCCAACAGTCAGTTTCCATCGTTCAGAAGTGTCCTGTGTACATGGAGCCTACCTCTTCTGTCACATAGTCACAATCCTAAGACCCTGATAAAAAAACTAACCTGCCTACCGTTGTAACTGAAAATGAACCAAATAAAGAGAACAACGATTTGGAAAGATACTGGATGTATCTTTTTTGTGTCTGTTCTCTGTGGCAATAGGTATTATTATTAATTTGGAACCACTGTTCCATATTTGGATAGGTGTTGCTTATCTATAAAATTTCCAAGACCGGTTGAAGGATAAACCATAGCGAGATAATGAAAAGACTGAATTAAAAAAAAAAAAATAAAATGGAAACATTCCAATAGCGTGACTAATAGCCATCAGTTGTAGGTGCTTAAAGGTTCATTGGAATGTCCAATAAAAGTGATGTACTAAGTGTAGTTTCTTGCATAGCTATAGGATGCTGCTTTGTTAAATCTAGGTAAGGTGTTCTTGATCCTTAAATGAACCTTATTTTTTGTGTAACCCTCAGGCCTGGATCGCTCTAAGCTTATTAATTTAGCATACTTGATGGGCAGTGACTATACAGAAGGAATACCCTCTGTTGGCTATGTGTCTGCCATGGAGATACTGAATGAATTTCCTGGACATGGGCTGGAGCCTCTGCTGAATTTCAAGTAAGTCTTTTCTCTTTATGGTAAATGGAGAGTGCATGAAAACTTTTTTTCCCATAAAGGATCTACTTCCATATGTGAATTACTTTTTTATAAACTGATATTTTTTTAAATGTTTTCATAATTTGTTATAGTATCTTCTTTTTTTGAATAGACATTTTAATATAGAGTCTGTTCATGTTATTCCATTAAACCCTAAAGCAAATATAAAAAAAAAAAATACAAAATCTTAAATGTGATGGCTGCATTAGTTTTATTTTTGTAGGCTTTCTTTCTTCTATTTTCACTTGGTGTTCCTGCAGTACGTCTGTTTTTCAACAGAACAAGCTGTCCTGCAGATGTGGCAGTTAGATGAGACAAACCATTTAACACAGGGGTGCTAACAGTGATCAGCTTTTATTTATATAAAATCTTTACTGGCCAGATCACCAGGTGAACACTGAGTGAAAAATGCCTAAAAAATAATGCAGTCTCCATATCTAATGATTGGTAAGCTGCAGTTAATTTTGATTTTGGGTTTAATAACACTGAAAGCATGAGGCTTCTTATTAGAACTGAGTTCTACCCTTGTTGATTTATTCTTGAAGATAAAATCCACTTTGGCATCCTGTACTAGCAGTGTCCCCAGTCTGACTCATTCAGCTGTGTGTGTAATATGATGTCCTGCTGTAAAGTTCACAACACAAGCTATTCACAGCATAGTAAATCCTACCCCCATGTGATAAATAAAAATATAGTCTTAAATATTTCACATTTAGCTGATTAAAAACAAAGTGTTTTGGTGGTGTTGTGTGCAAACAGTGAATTCAGTTTTTGAACTGTTAAATTATACATTTCCTTTTTATTTTATTTTTTTTTTCAGTAAGTGGTGGAGTGATTATTGCAACTCGAGCACTTATGTACAGTATATTTATGCAGGAATAGAGAGATTGCAGGCAAACCTTATTTCCTCTTAAAGACACATTGTGTTAGTATGATGAGTTTTCTCTTTTATAGGGATTTAGGGGAACTTCAGGAAAGACACACAATTCAGTAATCGATATGTGAAGGGAAAATCTGTTTTACCTTTGTTTTTTATTGATGAAAAAGCCTGTGTGCAGTCTGATGTTGCTCTTTTGTAGCCTTGCCTTTATCTATTAATTTCACACAGGGGAAGATTCACTAAAACTGGAGCATTCAAAATCTGGTGTAGCTGTGCATGGTAGCCAATCGGCAGTTAATTTAATTTCAGCTTGTTCAACTGAGCTTTGTGAATAAAGCCTGGAAGCTGATTTGTTTCTATGCAGAGCCGCACCAGATTTTGCACTCTCCAGTTCTAGTAAATACCCTCCACAGTGTGCTTTGATTCACCAATTAACCCCTTCCCCAATCTCATCAACTAACTATAAATGACATTAAGGTTGGAAATAAGATCACAATTTCTGTATTTGCGGCGATACAAAATTATGCATAGAAATATCTTTAGCACACAGCATTACACCATTACACATCAACATTACAAAAAAATTGGGTTTAATGTTGAAATATTGAAAGATTTATGCATTTGACTGCTAAACATTTTCAGATGAGATACTCATTAGGTTGGGTTACATTGGGAGAAACTGTGATGGTAAAAGATTTGGGTCCTAGTGGACCACAAACTTAGTAATCGCAACTAGTGTCTGGATGCTTCTAGCAAAGCAAGCAAAATAATTTGCTGCATTAGAGTATTTATTCAGTGGATAAATCAGTACCTTTTTAAGGGCTCATTTACACTTGCTTTGACTTTCACACACATTAAAGCGCATACCGCTTCAGCGTGTTTTTTTATGTGTTTTTGATGCTTCGATGATGCTTTTTTGAAGCTTGGCAAATGCTCTGTGTGTTGATTTTCTATTTGTTTTAAAGGGGCTCAGTAGTACCCCACTCAGCAGATCCCCAGATCCATTAGTACCTCTGTTCAACAGATTCCCAGCTCATTGATACCTTTTTGTTTAGCAGATGCCCTGCTCGGTAGTAGCCCCCAGCTCTGCTCATCCCCCACTAAGTATTGACCTCCAGCTGTGCTGATCTTCTGGTTTGCTGATTCTCCTCTCTCTCCGGTCTCCACTCACCTCCCGCTATATTGCTCCAATGCTGTGCATCACATGACAATGCTAGTTACTCCTGCTCTGGTCCCCTAGCGCTGCTGATCTTCTGCCACTCAGTCTTCTCTCTTCGGTCCTCGCTCACCTCGTGCTGTAATGTTCCCATGTTGCACACCACATGTGCTGTCTGCTAGTTGCTCTGCTCCTGTCTGGACTCTGCTCACCTTCCTGCTGCTCCATGCTGCACACCAGATGTGATGTCTGCACCAGACACTTCTAGAATATATACAAAAAAAACAGACGTGATTGCTAATGTCGTCTTACCGGTTCACTTGCTGGTTTCCCGGTGCATCCTGGGATATCTCATACCTGCAAGACTTTCAAAACAAAGTGAAGCTAAAGCTACATAAAAAGCCTCTCGAAAGCTTCAGGTGCTGTTAGCAAGCTTTTGTCATAGACTTCTGTGGAGGCTTCGGAGATGCTTTGAAACACCAAGAAAGGGACATGGGGTATAATTTTCAAAGCAAACACAACGTGTAAACAGGACAAGGAGCTTTGATTGGCATTAGAACACTAAAAAAAAAGAATGTCCAATGCCACATTTTGAAGGAATTGTAAATGAGCCCTTACCACTTTATAAAACATTGGTTTGGTCTCCGCTTGAGTATGCAGTTCAGTTTTGTGGTCACCAGTCAACTAAAAGAATGTCCTGAAACTAGAAAGAATCCAGTGAAGGGCAGCTAAATTAATTAGGCAGTTGGAGGTCCTCAGCTAGGGGGACAGATTAAGTAAACTAAACCTATGTGCCTTAGCGAGGAGGCACTTAATAGGAGACTATGTACACATCAAGCATCAATGCTGGGAGCAAGGCTAGTAACAATTTGTTTAACTCTAGGTCCCTGGTAAGGACACATGGTCACAGTTTAAGACCGGAGGAGAGGAGGTTTAAACTGCTGCAAGTGTTGACAAATTAAAAAATGTCAATATGTCTTTGTTGATGAACACCACATACAGGGATATGTACAGAAAACAAACTTAACACTGAGCTGGATGGACCTGTTTATTTTTCAAACTTTATCAACTATGTAACTGTACTGTTGGAATGACTCGCATTAGTGAGCCGTCCTTTTGATAAGTGCAGCACATGAGGACCTGGGGATTCAAATGTGGAGATCTTTCTGCAAGAGTCTCCTACAACCCCTGGCAAAAAGTATGGAATCACTACTCTTGGAAAATGTTTGTTCAAATTGTTTAATATTGTTTAAAAAAAAGAAGCTAATCACAGAAATGCCTCAAAACTATTTTCATTTACATTCCAACCGTCTGGGTTTAAGAAACACTTAAAAAAAATAAAAAAGAAAGAAAACTGTAGTCAATTGCAACTGTTTTTGCAGATCAAGCAGAGGAGACAAATATGGAATCACTCAATTCTGAGGAAAATATTATGGAATCACCATGTACTTTGCAGTTCTAAAACAAACATCTGCATCAGATTACATCTGATAATTAGTCTGCAGTTAAATAAAAATGGTTGCACACCATGGTGAGCTGTTGCACCAAGTTGATTGACATGAATCATGGCTCCAACACAAGAGATGTCAGTTGAAACAAAGAAGAGGATTATAAAACCTCTTCAAGAAGGTAAATTATTACGGAATGTTGCAAAAGACGTTGGTTGTTCCAGTCAGCTGTGTCTAAAATCTGGACCAAGTACAAATCAAATGGGAAGGTTGTAAAAGGGAAGCGTACTGGTAGATCAAGGAAGACATCAAAGCATCAAGATTGAAAACTTCAAACAATATGCCTTGAAAACAGAAAATGCAAAACAAATGAGGAATAAATGGGCAGAAGCTGGAGTCAATGTCTGTGACTGAACTGTAAGACATCGCCTAAAGGAAATGGGATTTACATACTGAAAAGCCATACGAAAACCATCATTAATGCTTAACCATTTCCATACCGGGCACTTTTACCCCCTTCCCTCCCAGGCCACTTTTCAGGTTTCAGCGCTCTCACACTTTTGAATGACAATTGCGCGGTCATACAACATTGTACCCAAACTAAAATTTTAGCATTTTCTTCACACAACTAGAGCTTTCTTTTGGTGGTATTTAATCACCGCTGGGGTTTTTATTTTTTGCTAAATTTAACAAAAAAAAGGACGGACGAAAATGTTATAAAAGTTTGTAAATAAATAATTGTTCTTTATAAATTTAGGCCAAGATGTATTCTGCAACATGTCTTTGGTGAAAATAACCCAAATTAGGATGTATTTTTTTAGTTTGTAGGAAAGTTATAGAGTTCACAAACTATGGTATAGATCTGAATATTGGTCAATCCTGAAGTACTGACAGCCAATCTAATTTCTTGAGGTCCAAGAATGTCAGAAAAGTACAGATATCCTCCAAATGACCTCTTTTTGCAAAGTAGACAGTCCGACGTACTTCATAAGAGGCATGGCGAGTTTTTTTGAAGTTGTGTTTTTTTTGTGATTTTTCGGAAAATTAAAAAATTTAAAAAATTATTTTTTTACATACTGTCACCAGTGCAGTACAGCGTCGTCATATAACTGGCATGGCGGTGATCAGGGACACTGACTGGTGACAGTATGGAGAAAAAAAAAAAAAATATATATATATATATATATATATATATATATATATATATATAATATTATTTATATATATATTTTTTATTTTTTTTTTTTTTTTTTTTTTTTTTTTTAATTTTAATTTTTTATTAAATTTTTTTTCTTTTTTTTAAGATTTTTTTTTTTTTCATATTTCACTATGTCCAAAGTAGTACAATGTTACCATAGTAACATTGTACTACTTTGGGGAAGTGATCAGTATTTATTTATTTATTTTTTTTTACACAATTTACTTATAGCAAAGAATTACTTTGCTTTAAGCAAGCATGTACCTGAATGACATCGATTCATTCAGGCTTTTTTTTCTTTTTTTTTGTGCTTAGCTGTGATTTGGCCACAGCTAATCACATGACATGTGCATGTGATCGCTGTGACCCTTCACAGCTAGACACTAGTATACAATGGATGGCATGAATGAAGCCATCCATTGTATACAACTGTCATGTGACCTGCTGTGATTGGTCACTGCAGGACACATGGTACCTGCAGCGGGGGCCGGTACTCAGATCTGTCATCGGCCGTGTCCACGTTACACGGACGGTAACAGATCACTCTGCAAGCGTGAAAACTGCGCATGCCCGGGAGTACGCCATATGGCGTCCACCCGGAAATCTACAGCATTTTGCCGGCTGCCAAACGGCTATTGGCCGGGCGGCTATTGGTTAAACAGAAAACAAGAAGGCTACAGTGGGGTAAAGAAAAGCAACCATGGACTGTGCGTGACTGGTTGAAAGTGATATTTGGTGATGAATCCCGAATCTGCATTGTGCAGGGTAATGAAGCTGGAACTTTTTTGTTTGGTGCCATTCCAATGAAATGTATAAAGACTGCCTGAAGAAAACATGCAAATTTCCACAATCCTTGATAATTTGGGGTTGCATGTCAGGTACAGGGAAGATGACAGTCATTCAATCTTTTTAATAAATGCATAACTTTTATATTGAGTTTTTGGACACTTTTCTTATTCCATCAATTGAAAGGATGTTTGGAGCTGGTGACATCATTTTTGAGAATGACAATGCATCTTGCCATAGGGCCAAAGCCGTGAAAACTTTCCTTAAAGAAAGACATATACAGTATTGTCAATGGCATGGCTTGCAAATAGTCTAGACCTCAATCCAATTGAAACTCTATGGTGGAAATGAAAGAAAATGGTCCATGACAGGCACCAACCTGCAAAGCTGATTTGGCAACTGCGGCAAGAGAAAGTTGGAGCTGGATTGATGAAGAATACTATTTGTAGATCGTTAAATCCATGCTTCAGAGAATTTATGCTGTTATAAAAGCCAGAGGTAGTGCAGCAAAGTACTAGTGGTGTACTGTAGTGTGTGTGTGTGTGTGTGTGTGTGTGTGTGTGTGTGTGTTTTTTTGTGTTTTTTGCTTTGTTTTTTTTGCTTTGTTTTTTTGTTTTTTATGATCACATAATATTTTGCTCAGAATTAAGGGATTCCATATTTATTTTCTTCTGCTTGATCTGCAAAAACATTTGCAACTGACCACCGCTTTCTTTCTTTTTAATTTTTTTTAAGTGATTCCTAAAGCCTGAAGGTTGGAATGTTAAATGAAAATAGTTTTGTTAATGCGATTCATATGACTTATCTTCCCAAATATTTTATATGTATTCCGTGTTTTGCCAGCCCCTGTTCTACTACACATATTACGTATTCACCAACGTAAACTTCTGTCATGTACCTGGGGCTCTTCGCATCCTAAAATTAACAAACAGATTTTTTTTTTGCCGTAAGATTAATAGAGGATTATTGGTTCCAAACCTTCACATCTACTACCTGGCAGCTAATATCGCCCCTCTATCCCATCTTAATGAATCCAAAAATATCCCTCTGTGGGCCACTATAGATCTGATGGATTCTCATCCGACACCACTTCCATCTCTACTGTGGCTCCCCCCTACTAATCATCCTATGCCCCTCAGTCCGACGTTAACACACACACTTCGACTTTGGGATTCCATCAAGTATTCAGCAGGTCTCATTTCATCTCATCTACCCTTGCGTCTTCTTCATAATCCGTTATTTCCCCGGGTCTTAACAATCCAGGACAATTCACGTTTTGGATGGTCCATGGTTTCAATGATTTACACTCTTTTACTCTCCCTCTCTAGGATTCTCAACTTTGACACCCTTTGATCATCTCAAAACATTCCACTGAGGGAGCACTTTTGCTTCCTTCAAATTTACCACTTTATCACTACACTACTACGTGCACAGCCAACACCTTACAGATTGACTCCCTTTGAAAGCCTCTGTAGAAACAGACCTCATTCTCTGGGCTTCATATCACTGATTTACGCCTCCATTATTTCCTACAGAAAGCCTCCGCTACGACCATATCACCAACACTGGCAATCTGAATTAGTGGGTCGACTTGATCAGCAGGACTGGCAGATCATGACCCAAGTATTGTTCAAATGTTCGAAAAATGTTCTTATTTTAGAAAATGCCTATAAAATTCTCTATAGCTGGACTATTTCGTCTCATCCCATCTTACACACCAAATTGTTTTCGTGGTTGTCAACAAATTGGCACCATGGCCCACATTTGGTGGACGTGTCCCAAGGTATGTAGACTCTGGGTCAGGGTATATGTTCTTCTTCGCACTGTTTCACGCAAATATTTAACTCAACCCCTATGAGGCTCTATTATTTAAACCAGTAGAAGGTCTACTTCACACTGAGCGACAATTTGCAGCACATTTATTCACTGCCGCCAAATTCACAAATGCGAAAGCATGGAAGACCCCCTTCCTCAGTTCTGAAGCAGTCAAAAATTGGATTGAACTTTATAATGGTTAATGGAGAAGTTGACAGCTATACTGTTAGATACACATGACAAGTTCTTCCGGATTTGGCAACCTTGAATTAACTAGATTTCACAATGCCCTTCTGTCGCTTTAACGACCTTATACTGTGATCCATCGGGACCCTGTTTTCTTTCCCTTACTCTTTTCTCCTCTGCTCTAATTTTTCATCCTGTAATTGAACTGAACGTGATTTTTTTTTTTTTTTTTTTTTTTTGAACCTGAAGTGTTTTGTATGATCACTGGACCCTTTCTGGGCCCAAAGGATTGTCAAGACACTTCTCCCATAGGGTTATGCATAATGCTTTTACATGCGGTTTTCATGTCTACCTACGGAATCAACCCGATGAATCATAGGCCTTCACATGTTAATCAATAGTGCATTTTGTTATATATCTTATCATTCAATTACATATTGTAATCGCACTTACTGTTTGCCTCTGTAACTCAGTGCATTTATTATGCTTTACGTTATTTAGAGGAACTGTATGTTTATTTCCTCTGTACCGTCATTTCTGTCTTTGGATTTTTTCTGATGACTTGATACTACCAATAAACTCCATTGTAAAAGAAAATAGTTTTGAGGCAGGTCTGTGATTAGTTTTTTTTTTCCTACACAAACATTTGAATGAACTGGAATTCCATAGTGGTGATTCCATACTTTTTTTGCCAGGGGTTGTAGTAAAGGAGATACATGGCTCAGCTTGGAAAAAGTGAAATACTGGTTTTGGGTGCTCCATTCTTTTTAATAAAACAATGCTAATCCAAGAGAAGATCAGGCACCTTGGAGGAAGCTCAGTTCCACTTCCTTACCTACTTTATATGATTTGCATAGGCAAAGCCTAGAATTATCCCCAAAGTTCCATCTCCCTCTATAGATCATGTCCCAGTTTTTTTTCCTTTTTGCTGTAGCAAGAAAAAAAAATTTTACTCCCGGTGACAGACTTGTAAAATTCTTGTAGTGCCACTGTTGTATTCATGGTTCCTATTCACAAATAAACACCCCCAGAACTACATCTCCCAAAAGTGTTTCCTACACACAGTGTGTGGGCATGCTTTTGGGAGTCAAGGCAGTGACATTGTTTTGCTGGGAAAGAAATTAATGTTTTCATGTCAGGGATAGAGAGAGGTGTGGGATAGTCCACCAGGCAGAGCTGAAAACCCTGGTTGAGCATAAAAGTTACTGTTTTCCATTGTGTACAATGATGCTTTTAGCAGTATGTGTATTGCTTTTTCTTTTCAGAGAATGGTGGACAGAAGCACAAACAAATAAGAAAATAAGACCTAATCCAAATGATACCAAAGTAAAGAAGAAAATTCGGGATCTAGAGCTACATCCTGGCTTCCCTAACAAGGCAGTAGCTGACTCATATCTAAAACCAGTGGTAGACGAGTCAGAGGGAGCTTTTTCCTGGGGGAGGCCAGACCTGGAACAAATCCGAGAATATCCTTTACTGCTTTATTATTGTCCTAGTGAATACTCTAAGCCTTGTAGCCTTGTCTACTTTGTTTGAAAGCTCTTTCAAAGAAACAATGTTTTTATTTTGATAGTTCTGACCTGTTCTTTGCTAGTTCAGGGGCTCTACAATCATAATGCTAAAATATGCAGTCATAACTAAGATTATTTTTCTGTACCTTTTTAACTTAAGTATTGATCTCATGATATATTGTGCTGCCATAAACATTTAAGAAAATGGCACTTTGTATACTGTAGTAATGGCGATGTAACATCACGGCCCAGTGATATAGCTGGATGCTTCTGAACCCTGTCCTAGCAGGCACAGCACCAATTCTATTTCCTGGAGGGGTTTAGGCAGTCCATTGGACTGTTAAGAGTGATAACAGGGGAGAACATTAAACCAATATCCCCCACTGGTCGCATATCATGCTGTCCATCAGGTTGCAAAAAGGTTTCAAGGTAGGTATCGCACTCTTAAAACAACCCTGTTGACAGACTGAAACATAAAATGACACTCTCTTTGTAAAAGAAGGAACTTAAGGGCTTGTGTCAATGGCATCAGTTTCAGACCCTTCTAGGAGCTTTCAGATATCATTGACTGGTGCAACCGACCTCCTTCTGACCAGAGTGAAGTGGGTTTTGCATTCCCATGGAATTGTAAGGAAATGCAAAAGCAGTGTGATGTGAATAAAAGCCTATCAGCACAGGCCCTTATCCTCACCTTTCTAGCCGCTAGTACATTAAACCTTCATAGTCTGGGTGCCACTGCTATTCGGCATTTCCAAGTTTGACAAATGAAAGGTCTCTTGCTAGTAGCTTTGATCTCTGCTGTTGACCAGTGTGTCACTGCTGTGCCATGTAGTGACATGGAGCCAGTGGGAGGAACCACTGTCTGTAGCAGGGAACATATCTGACACACCCAGAAATGCAACAGCAGAGGTCAGAGCCCTTTTTTTTCATTTTTATTTTACTGACATGGATTTTTAAAAACACTTCTTCATTTTTCTTTTTTTTCTTTTTTTTTCATTTGCGTGATGATATAAACTAATACATGTGGGTGGTTTACAGACCAGCCAACATACGCTTCTCCCAGTGAAGGAAGATATACTCACTTAATTCCATTATCCAGGTTCCTCGCCCGCACCTTTTGACTGCTGAATAGATGTGCAAGTTATCTCTCACCACCCCAGTCCCCTACTGTCTCCTCACAATCATGTCACTCCTCTTTAGTCTCCTGAGAGGACAGCCACTAGGAAAAGTCCATATCACACAGGCAGCGATAAGGTTCCTGCCAGAAGAAAACAGAAAAGGAGTGAAGAATCGGAATCTGATAGTCATGTGACCATGAGTTTAGTTAAGTAAAGAGGATTTTTTTTTTCCATTGCAGTGATAAGCTAAAGGGTAGTAGGAGGGAAGGATGAGAGGGTTGTTCTTTTGCCCAGAGTTGGATTTTAATTGAATCTGAAACAGTATTAAAATGCTGCTATTTTCTTAACCACAAATACATTTTGTGAAAGCCGTTTTGGATGGTATCGCTCAAAGACAGATGAAGTGCTTTTACCAGTGCTAAAACAGTTAAATGCCCAACAGGTAAGTCCAGACAATTGTTTTCTGATCTTTTAATTATTATTGATTTTTTTTTTTTTTTTTTGTTAAAGCAAGAGTTCTATGTCACACACTGAAAAATGACTGACATTTGGTGGGACCTGTTTGTTGTATTAATGGATAGAATAGCTGCATTTGAACAGATTAACTCAGATTGATCAGTGAAAAATCACAGACATTCTTGAATTTATATTTACGTTGTAAGCATACTCCATTTTTCGTCTTTGTTTGCCTTCAGACTCAGCTCCGAATAGATTCTTTTTTCCACGTGGAACAGCATGAGGCTCACACTCTGAAGAGTCAGCGGCTGCGTAGGGCTGTAACCTGCATGAAGAGGAAGGAGAAAGATGGTGAAACCGCAGATTTAGAGCAAGCCGAGGCCCTTATCGAGAGAGATGATAGAAAACAAAAAGGAGCAAAATCCAGTAAAAGCCATAAAAAAACACATTGTAGAAAGAACAAACAGGAGACTGAACCAGGGAGTCCTGATGAGGTCTGTGTGGAGGGGGGCTTTATTGGGCCCAGTTTAGGACCCTTGTCATCTTATAATGAAAACTCAATGATTGATGACAATGATTCAGAGGCAAACACTAGTGCAAAATGCAAAGGGGGATCCAAAACAAGCAAAGACAGAACTGCTGCCCCAATTGTAAAGACAGACAAAATGGAGACAAGCAGTTCGAGTGAGAATGAAGAGGAGGTGTTGCTTGTGACTGCCAAGCCTGTGTTTCAGGGCAAGAATAGAAAGTCAAGGACTGTGAGAGGAAGAAAGAAGTGAATTTGGGAATATATATAATTTATTAATTGTTCTGTATATGATCTTGTTCCTGGTCATGATTTCTACAGTGATGTGTATAATGAAATGTAGCACTAACTATAGAGATTGTTGTCATGGCTGCTTTTATTTCTGTTGCTGCAGTCAGGACTAGATCATACCTCTTTTTTTTTATCTATCAACTGTCACAGCTATATTTCCTTATGTCATCTAGTAAAAAGCATAAAGCTGTACTTCTGTCAACACGGCATGACTATTACAATATTTTCTTACTGCATTCTGTGTGAAAGATAAATTCTGAAATATAATTTAATAATAAATTAATTTAGCAGAAGAAATGTTGACATTAAAATTCTTTCCTTCCTTGACTTTGCTTAAAATAGACAAATGCATCACAATTTTCCATGTAAAAACTGCAAGGCACTTATGTGCAGAACTGCATGAAATACTTAGTGTAAAGTATAAAGGTACCATAACACAGAAAGTTGTCTGATCTGTCCAAAAAGGATCATCATCATGCCTGACATCCCTGAAGTTAGGCAATTTAGACTGACTGCTGTTTCCTTATAGATGAGGGGTTTTTTTTGTAAAATGCATTTTTTGTTTGTAATTTTTTTATGCAAGACATACAGGAGTAGTCTATCTCGATAGAAAGGTGTATGCAACATTGCCAGTAGTTTGCGTGTCTCCTTTGCCACAGTAGTCTCCTTTGCCACATTCAATAGATGCAGCAATAGAAGGTGCTTGTGGCACTTCAATGGCATGGGGGTTAAGTCGAGAAGAAGCAGCAGCCTCTACTGTATTTAGACATCTGTCAGCTTGAAGATCCAGTGTCTGACTTGTGTCCAAAAGCCAAAGATACCAGTGCAAGACGGAAAAAAAACATGGAACATAGTGCCCTCCTCCTGTCGCCGCTATGGATATGTTTTAATCCCAGGCCTAACCTCCACAAATTAGTTATTTATCCTGTATTTGCATAATATATGAATTGAGTTTAATGCCATAATTGTGTTCTTCCAGCAGATTTATATGTTGGCATTGGCTTTATTGTAACATTTTAAATTGGCATATTAAAACCAAGATGAAGAGTGTTTTGACCATTCCAGCTCATTCATTAGCATTAATTTACATGCTTTGGAGATTCAAGCTTGCATTCTATGGAACAATTGAGGGAAAAAAAAACTGTAGCTCAGCAATCATATCAATTTTATTAGACTCCTTACAGTTTACTGTGAGTTTCCTTTTCATCTATACCCAATGTGGAAAGCTTTCACTGGTGCCACGTTAAGAATTTCAGTCATGTTGTTGTAATTAAATAATTACAAGAAGAGCGAGAGAGTTTAGGCTTCCAAACAGAAGGTCGGTGATTCCATGCTTCTTGAAGGCTGTCTTCCAAGGCTTCCAGGCAGGGGAACTAAAGACTCTCTTATGTATTAGGCCTTGTGCTTCATACATTCTGCTTAAGCCTGGTCAGGCATCTGCTTATTCAGCACAGTCGTTGAAGCCCTGATTCTTAAAATGGGAGCCCTAAAATAGTCATTCAGGCCATACCCACATACAGTCATTCTACCATTGCACTTGGCATTCTTATTTCAGGTGGTGTAAACAATGGAAGGTTCATCCCAAGAAATTAGTTTTTGTATGCATAATTTTTTTTTTTTTTTTTTTGCTTTCTGGCTTAAAGTGGTTGTAGACCCTTACTGTCCTAAATTGTTCAGTGTAGCTATTATTGCAATACCATATGATCTATATGCCCTAAAATACAAACATTTTTGTTGTTCTACCTTTTTCGGGTTTAAGTATTCCCTGTCATGTGATCACAATCCCCATGCTTTGCTAAATGAAAAGCGGTCGGTGGGTGTGTACAGACAGAGCTGCAGAGCATAATTTCCAGGAGACCTTTTCCTGCCAGAGCTTGGTCATGAGTGAGCATGATTATGTGTGCTCATTTGTGAGCTTTGACATGATCGTGGATGGGGTTGGACTGGGTGGGACTGGCTTGCAGTGATCGACAGCACTTTTAGGAAGTATCAGTGAGCAGCCACATTCGGCTGCACAGATCAAACATCGTCGGCCACATCAAGAAGGGTTGCTGAATGGCTTGGTTGGACAATTTTTTCTGATCAGCCTTTAAGCAATCCAAAAAGTGCATAATACAAATGTTTGTTATTTATCAAATACAGTGGGGAACATAATTATTTGATCTCCTGCAGATTTTGTAAGTTTGCCCACTTACAAAGAAATAAAGGGTCTATCATTTTTATCACAGGTGTATTTTAAATGATAGAGACAGAATATTAACCAAAAATCCAGAAAAAACACATGATATAAATTGAGTTGCAGTTCATGGAGTAAGTATTTGATCCCCAAGCAAAACATGACATAGTACTTGGTGGAGCCTTGTTAGCAAGCACAGAGATAAGATGATCCTTGTAGTTGGTTACCAGGTTTGCACACACACAGGAGGGATTTTGGTCCACTCTTCTTTACAGATCTTCTGTAAATCCTTAAGATTTCTTGGCTGTCACCTGGCAACTCGAAGTTTCAGCTCCCTCCATAAATTTTCTGTAGGATATAGGGCTGGAGACTGGCTTGGCCACTCCATGACCTTAATGTGCTTCTTGAGCCACTCCTTTGTTGCCTTGGCGGTATGTTTTGGATCATTGTCATGCTGGAAGACCCATCCACAACCCATCTTCAGTGTTCTGGCTGAGGGAAGAAGTTCTTATCCAAAATTTTACAATACATGGCCCCGTCCATTGGCCCTTCAATGCAGAAAAGTCAGCCTGTACCTTTTAGCAGAGAAACAGCCCCAAAGCATAATGTTTTCACCTCTGTGCTTGACTGTAGGGATGGTGTTCTTAGAGTCATAGTCAGTATTTTTCTTCCTCCAAACATGTTGAGTCGAATGAATGCCAAAGGGCTCAATTTTTGGTTTCATCTGACCCCAGCACTTTTCCCAATCCTTCTCTGAATCATTTATATGTTCATTGGCAAACTTCAGACAGGCCTGTACATGTGCCTTCTTTAGGAGGGGGACCTTGTGGGCGAAATCTTGCATGGAGCTCCATACTGAGGGCAATTGATGGTTATTTTGGATTACTTCCATTTGCGAATAATTGCTCCAACAGCTCTCTCTTTCTCACCAGGCTTCTTGCTAATGGTCTTGTAGCCCATTCCAGCCTTGTGCAGGTTTACAATCTTGTCCATGGCATCCTTTTGTCAGCTCTTTGCTCTTGCCCAGGATAGTGAGATAGAATGAGATTCTGTGGACAGGTATCTCTTATACACAACCAGTTGTCGTTAGGAGCACCTTATTAACCTCTTCACGCTGACGGTAAGCAAATGTGTGGCCTCTCAGCGCCTGGGCCCTGACGCCAACCAGCCGCATGTTTGCGTACCATTTGTAAACAAACGTGCTGAGAGCGCATGCCCTGCGCACTCCCAGCACATAAGTCAGTGTCCCACGGAAAGGTCCTTGTGATCAGGACCTTTACGATCATGCGACTACCGTGACAGCTAATCACAGCGGTCACATGACCCTAAACCCTGCCCTGCCTACCAGCGTCAGAAACCTCTTAAAGGGCTGGGAGGCACTGGCATGAAGGGGTTAAATTGACAGGACTCATCTGTGTACCACATGAACACATAGTCAGTCTGTGGGAGCCAAAAATATTGCTGGTTTGTAGGGGATTAAATACTTTTACTCGCTGAACTGCAACTCCATTTATAACGTTTATATCGTGTTTTTTTTCTGGATTTTTGGTTGATATTCTGTCCCTATTATTTAAAATACACCTATGATAAAAATTATAGACCCTTCATTTCTTTGTAAGTGGGCAAAACATGCAACATCTGCAGGAATCAAATAATTATTTTCCCCACTATAAATGCAGGGTTGATTTTGATTGGAATTCCACTTTTACCTTGAGTGCTTCAAGGGTAAATTGTTACAGATGTGAGAGAAGAAAAAGAAAATCTGTAATTCTCACATGTACAGTTGCAAGAAAAAGTATGTGAACCCCTTGGGATTACGTGGAGTTTTGCATGAATTAGGCATAAAATGTGCTCTGAACGTCATCTAAGTCACAACAATAGAAGAACACAGTCTGCTGAACATAATACTACACAAACATTACATGTTGCCATGGTTTAATTGCACATAACATGTAAACATTCACAGTGCAGGGAGGAAAAAGTATGTGAGGCCCTAGCTTAATGACTTCTCCCAGAGCTAATTGGAGCCAGGAGTGAGCCAACCTTGACTCCAATCAGCGTGATGATATTGGATGTGTTGCTGACAGCTGTCCTGCCCTTAAAAAAACACACACCTGTTTTGGGTTTACTGGTTTCAAGAAGCACTGTCTGATGTGAACCATGCCTCGCAGAAAAGAGCTCTCAGAAGACCTACCATCAAGAATTGTTGACTTGCATGAAGCTGGAAAGGGTTACAAAAGTATCTCCAAAAGCCTTGATGTTCATGTGTCCACAGCAAGACAGACTGTGTACAAATGGAGAAAGTTTATCACTGTTGCTACTCTCCCTAGGAGTGGTCGTCCTGTAAAAATGACTGCAAGAGCACAGTGCAGAATGCTGCATGAGGTAAAGAAGAATCCCAGAGTGTCAGCTAAACACCTACAGAAATCTCTGGCACATGCTAACATTTTTTGTTGACACATCTACAATAAGGAAAACATTAAACAAGAATGGAGTACATGGGAGGACACCACGGAGGAAGCCATTGCTGTCCAAAAAGAATATTGCAGCACGTTTGAAGTTTGCAAAAGAGCACCTGGATGTTCCACAGCACTACTGGCAAAATATACTGTGGACAGATGAAACCAAGATTGAGTTGTTTGGGAAGAACACACAACACTATGTGTGGAGAAAAAAAGGCACAGCACACCAACATCAAAACCTCATCTCCACTGTGAAACATGGCGGAGGGAGCATCATGGTTTGGGGCTGCTTTGCTGCCTCTCAGGGCCTGGACGGATTGTTGTCATTGATGGGAAAATGAATTCCAGAGTTTATCAAGACATTTTGCAGGAAAACGTACGACCATCTGTCCGCCAACTGAAGCTCCGCAGAGGATGGGCGATGCAACAGGACAATGACCCAAAGCATACAAGTAATTCAACAAAACAATGGCTGCAACAGCACAGAATACGCCTTCTGGAGTGGCCCAGTCAGAGTCCTGACCTCAACCAGATTGAAATGCTGTGGCATGACCTTAAGAGAGCGATTCACACCAGACATCCCAAGAATATTGCTACACTGAAACAGTTTTGTGAAGAGGAGTGGTTCAAAATGACTCCAGATCGTTGTGCAGGTCTGATCTGCAACTACAGGAAACGTTTGGTTGAGGTTATTGCTGCCAAAGGAGGGTCAACCAGGTACTAAGTCCAAAGGTTCACATACTTTTTCCTCCCCTGCACTGTGAATGTTTACATGTTATGTGCAATTAAACCATGGCAACATGTAATGTTTGTGTAGTATTATGTTCAGCAGACTGTGTTCTTCTATTGTTGTGACTTAGATGACGTTCAGAGCACATTTTATGCCCAATTCATGCAAATCTCCATGTAATCCCAAGGGGTTCACATACTTTTTTTCTTGCAACTGTATGCTGGCTAGTTAAAACTCCACACACGGGAAAGCATAAGCGTGTTGTCACCATTCAAAAATTATGGCTTTGTGAGAGACACACACTCCTGGCTATTTTATCATGGATATATTTGTTTATATACCTTTAGACATCTGTTTTTCAAAGTTCTAATAAAGCCACCTGGTCAGGTGTATGTTCTTTCAGTGTTTTACAAATACTATCACAATGGGCACTGCGAGTTTTGAGCACAAGTTATTTCAGGTACATATCTAATTGGGTGGACCTAGATATCCCCACTGCAGTCCGTGGTAAGAACTGAAAATCCCACTGTTGCCGTCAGTCACTGACATCAATGTCAGGTTGGTCGTGATACACTATATATTCTATATAGTAACACCTGTGCTACCCTACACTTTAAAATGATGAACAATTCTAGCTGCTGTCCTTAAACAAGTAAAAAGTTGTTAATATACAAATCATAAACTCCTATACAAATTATATAAGGCAAGACAGAGCTTATAACGTAAACCACCTTTAAGACTTTTTGTGCAAGTTATATACAGTACAGGCAAACTAAATCAATCGTGAAATTGTGATTGCTCTGTGTACTTATTGCTAGTCAAATGTGCTCAGAGGAAATCATGCTGCGTTGTGCCACTCAACATTCCACTGCACTCTCCGGATCATATTTACCCTTAGTATAATGCAAGAAAGTCAAAGAGCACTTCTTTTAACTGGACGTTCCATAAACTGGAATCTGCTGCACTCAGCACCCACTATATACACCATTAACCCGATCCTCCAGATCTTTCTAAGTATAGGGAAATGCACCACTGTCCCTCTAAGCCCTCTTGGACCACCAAACAGTTTTCAGCCAGAACATAAAGAAAGGGAAGCCTCTCATAATGCAATCTGCTTTTTATTAAACCCTGCACAGTAAGAAGTCAGTATTGCACTCATAATGTGAATATGCATAAAGGCCTTACGAATTGAAAACCAGGAACCTCTGCTGTGTCCTCCAGCGTCAACTGGAAGTGATGTAACCAGAATTCCCAGCCAATATAATTTGTATAGGAGTTTATGATTTGCATGATACACTAGCTTTTGCAGTAAAGTAAAGGAGAGTGATAGAGGTTAGTTAATCACTTGTAATGGACAATACTAATATCCCTTTGTGTTCAGAATTTCTGTAGTGTAAATTAGTACAATGCACTACTGTTAACAAGACTGGAAAGGAGTTACATAGCACAGTGTCGTTTTTGCCATGTGTTTCTTTAGCTATCTTCCCAGATGGTGGACATGATGGGTTCCATATTAATTACTGCTGACACTAAAATTTACTCAGGGAAGTTGAATTTAAAAGAGGTTAGAAATAGACCAATCCCTTCAGAAGCTAATCTTCACATGTTAAAATTGCAGGTGGTCCCTAAAACATTATTTTTTTTTTTCACCCACCAATACCATATTTACATAATTTCCTTGGTTGAAGGTTTCTTTTTTGCTTTGCATAATGCATTGGCTATTCAACTATTTAAAATATGCTTGTCAAACAGCCTGATAACAGCATTCTTATCATTTGTTATGACAGTTTAGCCAAGTGCAAACAGCTCAGCTAACTTAGGAACTTCTGTTCAGGAGGCTGATTTAGCAATGCTTGTAAAACTAAAAATAGTCTGCTTTTGTATACAGATAACTTCCACAAGATTAATTGTTATACCAGCAAAACGAAAAGTTCTCGGACTCCCTGCATTTTTTTCTTATTTGCTGTTAAATGTATACTGGAAAAAAAGTATTCATACCCAATCTTCTTGTATATGAAACATATTCATGATATTAGTGCACTGTTGCATATCTGGAAAATGTAAGAAGGCTTGGGGAGTGCAGAAAGTTTACTAAAATACAACCATTAGTGTATATATGTACACATTACAGTAATCACCAACCATTTCACACTACTGCTGCTGCACAGTCATGGGTCTTTCAGAGTGTTGTTGCACTTTTTCATGGCATATGTGTTTTTTGGCCAGTGAATGAATAGCAAGATCTGCTATGATATTGTTGCTACTGGGAAGAAATTGGTAAGCACACAACCCCACAAAAAACATGATAAAAATGCATGTGCATGCATTTTTTTTAAATATCTAAGTGTCTGACAACACACTGATTAGCACTAAAAGAAGCGCATGCACCTCTTCAAAAATCGCACTGCACCATTTTGCATTGATGGGAGCGAGCATTGTAAAGAATAATGTGCTTTTTATTTTTATACAGAACATATCTCACTAATGTGAAAGGGTACTTATAGAGGCCCCTCGGCAACGTTTCTTGCTGCAGTCTAAACAGCTCAGAAAAAATGTATGAAAGCTTGTTGCTTTTTATACATCTACCTCCTTTAAACTTAGGGGCCAATTTAATAAAATATAACAAATGTGGTCTTGTTACGGCATGCTATTTCCTCATTTCAGTGATCTAAATCCTTTTTCTTCTTTTTTTTTCAATACAATCTAAATTGTATAGATCAGTTTATCTTTACATGCTACTTTTAGCTGCAGGCAGACTATAATTCTGTTTCAGTGAGGTGTCTATTGAGGAGAGCAGGCAAAGTCAGTTGGTGAAAAAGTATCAATTTCTTAAGAAATAATGACCTTTGACAGTAAGTAGTCTGGTGATCTTAAAACACACCCTGTAGACTTCTTATTGCTTCCAGTTAGAGAGCCCCAGTAAAATATATGCCAGTGCTTAGAAGCTTCTCACAGTCACCACATTCAAACTTTACAAGTCTGGATGTGATTGGTAGCAAAGTAAGCAAAGAGAGAGGAATTTACCCAGCACAGGCTCATGGAAGTACCATCCTACTGTTCTCTTAGTGAGCCTGTTAGATGGTCTGTGAAGGTTCTTGCTGCATATTAATATAGAGAATTTAGATACGGGTATAGGTTCACTTTTAGATCAATTAGGGGAGTGGGTAGACATACATTTGCATCACTTGTTATTATAATTGTCAGTTTACATTCAGGACACAAGTAGTGTGGTGTCCCAGGTGGTCTCTTTGCATCAGGCATGTGGATTTCAGTGGGTAGCCTTAGATGTCTGGGCTTTGTATTCCTCAGTTCACCACAATGCTGGGATTAATGCCTAATATTATCTAAGTATACTTTCTATTCATCAGAATTACAGGAGTTCCTACTTCTATCAGTGGAATACCTGTTAACCTATAACTTTTTTATGTTTGATGGCCAATTTATAAATGGGGTGGTGGGAAGAATTATTTCTGTTTTCCCCCCACAATCCTTTTAAGCAGTTCATTGGTATGGTCATTACATAGACGATCTTGCAGAGCTTGCAGAAACAGAGCAGGCCTATAATGAGGACATTAGCACTCATCTTATTCAGAGAGGTTTTCATAGGTGGTCCATTAAAGTGTTACTAACCCAGGACCCTGCATTCACTGTATCTGGTCTCCCACAGTGCACAGAACATGGAAATGTAATTATTGTAGTAAATATAAACTGCTAAATACCTTTTCTCATTAGCAGTTAGAGCAGTCTTGTGACTTCTATCAGTGTCCAGCTGAGCACTGGTTAAAGCTTGTAGGAGAAGTTTTCATTCTCCTCTCACTGCCATATGGATTTCATAACCCCTGACCCTCTGTCTGGACAGTGCTGATTGGTCCTGTGCTGATCACATGCACCCTCCCAAGCAAAAAAAAACTCTAGCAATACACACCAATCTGAGCATGTGCAGAGTGTCCCCAAGGCTCTTTTCTATCAGGAGATAAAATGGGGAAGAAGGGGAGGATCAGAAAAGTCAGAATCAAACATCCTTTTTACACAATGCAGAGAATTAACCCCTTAAGTTCCACAGTGAGTATAATAAGCATGCTTTACAGCATATACAGACGGATTTTATTGTTGTGGGTTTAGTAACACTTTAAAAGGGGCATGGTCTTGAAATAGGGAGGATTTATTGGCGGGTGGAAAAGGGGTGAAAGGAAGCAAGGGTACCTCATGGAGATCTTTCAGCACAGCCAGTCCCTTTTGTGACTATATAAAAGAATACCAATGGGTAGTGGCTATTATAAAAGGGAACTTGCCTGTTTTGTATTCAAACAACTTTTTTCTTTGATTCAGAACTTTGTATACTTGGTTGACATGTCTGGGCTCTTCCCAGAGGTGAACCATGAAGGAAATCCCCTCTGGATCAGTGGCAGTGATGGAGGGGGGTAGGATAGATGACATGGCAGTACTGGGGGGGTGACCAGTGCTGGAGGGTTGATGGGATCAGTGGCAATGCTGCGGGGTTGATGAGGTGAGCGGGGATAGGGAGGGAATAGGATCAGTAGCAGTGCTGGTGGGATGGGCCGAGTGGTAGTGCTGTGGAGGGGGGATGGGATGAGTGTCAGTGCAGTGCTGGAGAGGTGTGATCAGTGGCAGTGCTGGGGGATTGATGGTATTATGGTGGGGGAGGAATGGGATCAGTGGCAGTAGTGTTGGGGGGGGATAGGATGAGTGGCAGTGCTATGGAGATCGCTTTGCCACTCTGTGTCTGCTTTTTTATTCAGTATTAATTCTGTTTTACATTGATACTTTTTTTGCATATTTATTGGAGCTGTTTTGTGTTTCAGTTTGTTACAACTAAGACCCAGGAAGGGGCTGAAATGCATCAGCCTTGCTTTGTATTAAATTTAAAGAGTATTCATGTGTTTTTCACAGCACAGTGAGTGAAATCAATGTAAGGGGAAGCTATTTTTTTTTACAAAAAATAATGCAATGCAATATGCAAAGGTATTCTTTCGTCAGAGTTTAGGTCTACTTTTTTTAAATCGTCCTTATGCCAGAATGTATAACCTTTGGCTATTTCTTTCTTTTTCCAATTTTGAAGGATTTTTTTTGTACTCTGCCTAACATTTAATAAAAACTGCATTAAGAAATCAGTGTCATAATATCTCTGCATCATTACAATATCAAATAAAAATGCAGCAGTTACACCTACAGGGATACAAGTTTCCTTTGCTTTTCTTCTGAGCTGTGGTCGCTGTACACTGTCTTGAGCACAACTTCACACTCAGCCTTTTTCTGGAATGTTGTGATAGGACGTTGTGTGGAAGTCGCAGCTGTCAGTATCAGGATTCATTAAGCCTTGCCCTTGTACGGAGAACATCACCATGACATTGCCAGTGTGTAACTTACACTAAGAGTACGCTGCCTCTGGAGAGAATATCCAAGGCCAACATCCAAAGTGTTTTTCGACAAGGAATGTTTTTGTTATCCTGACACTCCATGTCTCCAAGCGGTCCAAGAACAAGGTAATGTCATTGTCATACTATTTAGCCACTAGCTGAATGTCTCTCTGTTCTGTAAAGCTTTTAATAGAGGTCACTTTTAACAGATCACATAATCATGACAAGAAGAAACAGGTGGTTGACTGCGAAACTTGGCTAATATAACAAATCCAACATTCTAGCTGCTAAAATTATGGTGGATGGGTCCTTACAACTGTTACAAAAGAGTAATGACCTAAAAATTTGTATGCGTTTGTTCTTTTTTACATTAGGCTTTCACTTGTGTGCTTTGGAAGGAGAAGGAACAACAGCGCTTTCTGAGCAAAGTAGCTGTATAAAATCTCATTTATTAAAAAGTAATCATAATAACTCACAAGGGAAGACTTGTATAAGGCAGATCACTACTGGACCAACTCCTGCTTGTATGGTCGGTGGTGGTGTGTATCACTGCATGGTCACACTGGACCGCTGGGCTTCCGCGCTAGTAGTGGTGACTCACCAGATCCGAACCCGGAGAAGCGGCTGCTTGTTTGTATTGTCATTAAAATATCGCTTCGGCCTTTTGGCTAAGATCAAGGTGGGCTGTAGTATCCCAAGGGGGGTGCATTCTTCTGGGGGGAAAGATGGTTGTGAGCATGCTACCTTGGTACACCCTCACTCAGTGCCCCCTGGGGAAGACGCTCTCAGGGGTGTGGGGGGATAGGTGGACCAGGGCAATTTTTGCTAGGCGCTGGGCTTCCGCGCTAGTAGTGGTGACGTCACCAGATCCGAACCGGAGAAGCGGCTTGTGTGCTTGTATTGATTATCATTTTAATGCTGCATAACATCCCGGGAAAACGTAAAGGCCACATAAAAAACATAATCTGACAAAATGGTCTATATAAAAAAAAAAAAAAAAACTGCTATTAGTGATGTCAGATGCTCTTCGCTTTTTTGACATTTTTGCTAATGTCTCTACAGAACTGGTCACAAAGTCTATGAACTTTGTCCAAAGCAGCAACTTGCCTATTGCATAAGGAATAAAAATGGGAACCTTGTCCCTGTCAGGAGCTATTTCCGGTTTTCGAATATAAGTGCACGTTTTTTCGTGTGTGTGTTTCTGCACTTGTATACATTTATGTTTGCGGAAAAAAAAAAAAAAAAAAAAAAAAAAAAATTGATTACTTTTTAAACATCAGGAAAACGTAAGGCCACATTCTTCTAGATCACTTCAGGCTGTCAGATGCTCTCGCTTTTTGCAGGTAATGCTCTACAGAACTGGTCAAAAGTCATTTTGTCAAAAATAAATGCCTATACCGTTGAATATTTTTTGTAAAAAATATCCATTAACTTTACATTGTATCACTCTGGCTGCCTCTTTTGCACATATAAAACTCAGTTGCTCTCTATTTTCTGGACTGTGCTGAATTTGTAGAGGCTGATTTTGCTGACAGCTTAAAGATCTACTGCTGCTCAGGGGGGCTCTGGGTTTCAGCAAAATGGCAGACTCAAGCAAGAAGAAACAGGAACAATGCTGGAGGCAATTTACAGCACACACTGATTTTGGTAGCACAATTATTAATGTAGAATGTTCCTTGCTAAAGAACACTCATTTTTATCAACTTGTTAAAAGTAAAGTTCTACTTTAAATGGTAGACAAAAGCAATCTCCCAAATGGCATTTATTTCCACTAATATCTTATGGATTTTAGTTAAATTATCAAAAAGCTAAAACGGGCATTTAAATTTTTTTTACAGCTTTGAAAATTAAAGGTAACAAATAGATACTATCTTCAATAACATCAGAATGAGTGAGGACACAGGTAAGATCAATTTACGTTTCCATTTCTGATTCTATTTAAGGAACGCATGCTGAAATATACAACACTTATAGTTGAACCAGTGCATACCATAAATTACTGAAAGCTGAAACCTGCTCAGCATATACAGTTAGGTCCATATATATTTGGACACAGGAAGAATTTTAGTTTTTTCAGGTATTTACCAAAACATATTCAAGCTATAGTTATATAATGGATATGGGCTTAAAGTGCACACTCTCAGGTTTAATTTGAGGGTATGTACATCCAAATTGGAGGAAGGGTTTAGGATATACAGCTCTTAAGAGTAGCCATCCCCCCTTTTTCAAGGGATCAAAAGTAATTGGACAGTTGAATATAATCATAAATAAAATGTTCATTTTTAATGTTTTGTTGTAGAATCCTTTACTGGCAATGACTGCCTGAAGTCTGGAATCCATGGACATTACCAAAGACTGGGTTTCCTCCTTTCTGAGGCTCTAACTGCAGCTGTCTTCAGTTGCTCTTTGTTTGTGAATCTTTCTGCCTTTTAGTTTTGCCTTCAGCAAGTGAAATTAATGCTCAATGGGGTTGAGAGCAGGGGATTGACTCAGCCATTGCAGAATATTCCACTTCTTTTCCTTCAAAAGCTCCTGGGTTGTTTTGTTTTTGGATCATTGTCCATCTGTACTGTGAAGCACCGTCCAATCAACTTTGCTGCATTTGGCTGAATCTGGGCTGACAGTATATCTCTAAACACTGCAGAATTCACCCGGCTGCTTCTGTCTTCTGTCACATCATCAAACACCAATGACCCAGTGCCACTGGAAGCCATGCATGCCCATGCCATCACACTGCCTCCATCATGTTTTACAGATGATGTTGTGTGCTTTGGATCATGAGCTGTTCCAAGCCTTCTCCACACTTTTTTTCCCTGTCATTCTGGTACAGATTAATCTTAGTTTAATCCATCCAAGGAATACTTTCCCAGAACTGGTCTGGCTTTTTAGATGTTTTTTGGCAAAGTCTAATCAGGCTTTTCTATTCTTCAGGCCTATGAATGGTTTGCACCTTGTGGTGAACTCTCTGTATTTGCTCTCGTGAAGTCTTCTCTTGATTGTAGACTTTGACAATGATACGCCCACCTCCTGGAGAGTGTCCTTCACTTGTCTGGATGTTGTGAATGGGTTTTTCTTTACCATAGAGAAGATCCTGTGATCATACACCACTGTTGTCTTCCGTGGATGCCCATGCCTTTTTTATGTTGCTGAGCTCATGTCAGGGCAGGAGACGAGGAACGGACAGGCAGGCCTAACAATGTAACGCACTGGCTGACGACAACCACCACCCACAGACCGAAGTCCCTCAGGGCGCGGAGTCTAAGTCCCAGGCTGCCGTTCACCAGGGCCCCTGATGGTGGGGATGGACTTGACGCAGCCAGGAACCAGGTCGCGGCCCCCGAGACACCTCAGCTGCGGTAATGGCCGCCGCCAATGGCGTGTAGCTGGTGGAAGAGACAAAAGAGTAGTCAGACAGGCCGGGGTCAACAACAACAGGACAAAACAGTACAGGACAGCAGACGAGAATCACAGGTCACGAGCCAGGTTCAGCAACAGAGGGTCAGATAAAAGGAGAATACAAAGAATAGTCAAGTCACAAGCCGAATCAGATACCAGGAGAGTCACGAGAGTCAGAACAGAGTAATAGCAACACAAAGACACAAGACACAAGTGCAAAGAGCATGTGCGGGCCACAGGCTTATATGTCATCAGCCACGCCCCTCTGGGGGGTGGACCTAAGAGACCTGAAGGCATAAAAGGATTCCCACCATGCACAGCAGAATCCAAGATGGACGCCAGCACATGGAGTAACATAACCTCAGGGAAAAGGTAGGACCTTGACAGTACCTCCTCCTCAAGGGCCCCTCCCCCTCCGCGGCTCAACAAAAGGTTTCTGAGGAAAGCGGGTATGAAAAGCACGGAGGAGGGCAGGAGCATGGACATCCGCGGAAGGAACCCAGGAACACTCTTCAGGACCATAACCGCGCCAATGAACCAGGAACTGTAATCGACCGCGCACCAATCGAGAGTCCAGAATCCGGCTCACCTCATACTCCTCATGACCGTCAACCCGGACAGGACGGGGCCGAGGCAGAGAGGTAGTGAAGCGATTGCAGATCAGAGGTTTCAACAGGGAAACATGAAAGATATTGGAGATCCGCATCCCAGACGGAAGGGCAAGGGCATAGGCCACCGGATTCACTTTGCGGAGAATGCGGAAAGGACCGACAAAACGGGGAGCTAGTTTGGGTGTGGGCACCCGAAGATTGAGGTTGCGAGTAGACAATCACACCCGATCGCGGACCTGGTATGAAGGAGCGGGCAACCGTCTGCGATCAGCCTGGAACTTCTGGCGCTGAGCTAAGTCCCTCAAGGCCCTCTGGATCTGCCCCCATGAAGAACGCAGGGCAGCAAGATGGTTCTCCACAGCCGGAATGTCCTGTGGTGAGAACCTCTCAGGTAATACCGCGGGTTGGAACCCATAGTTGGCCATGAAGGGAGACATCCCGGAGGAGGAGTTGACCGCCAAGTTCCTGGCAAACTCTGCCCAAGGCAGGAGATCGGCCCAATCATCCTGATGGTCTGAAATATAACACCGAAGGAATTGTTCTAAGGCCTGATTGGAACGCTCCGCAGCCCCATTGGACTGCAGGTGGTAGGCTGAGGAAAAGGAGAGACTAATACCCAAATGGGAGCGAAGGCATGCCTGCACCGTCAGGGTTCATGGCACTTGTGTAATGTCAGGGCAGGAGCTGAGGAACGGACAGGCAGGCCTAACAATGTAACGCACTGGCTGATGACAACCACCACCCACAGACCGAAGTCTCTCAGGGCGCGGAGTCTAAGTCCCAGGCTGCCCTTCACCAGGGCCCCTGATGGTGGGGATGGACTTGACGCAGCCAGGAACCAGGTCGCGGCCCCCGAGACACCCCGGCTGCGGTAATGGCCGCTGCCAATGGCGTGTAGCTGGTGGAAGAGACAAAAGAGTAGTCAGACAGGCCGGGGTCAACAACAACAGGACAAAACAGTACAGGACAGCAGACGAGAATCACAGGTCACGAGCCGGGTTCAGCAACAGAGGGTCAGATAAAAGGAGAATACAAAGAATAGTCAAGTCACAAGCCGAATCAGATACCAGGAGAGTCACGAGAGTCAGAACAGAGTAATAGCAACACACAAAGACACAAGACACAAGTGCAAAGAGCATGTGCGGGCCACAGGCTTATATGTCATCAGCCACGCCCCTCTGGGGGGTGGACCTCAGAGACCTGAAGGCATAAAGGGATTCCCACCATGCACAGCAGAATCCAAGATGGACGCCAGCACATGGAGTAACATAACCTCAGGGAAAAGGTAGGACCTTGACAGCTCACCAGTGCGTTCTTCTTTCCTCAGAAAGTACCAAACTGTTGATTTGGCCATTCCTAATGTTGCTGCTATCTCTCTGATGGATTTGTTTCATTTTTGAATCCTTACAATGGCTTGTTTCACTTGCATGGACAGCTCCTTTGAACGCATGATGTAAGTTCACAGCAATAGATTCCAAATGCAAATACCACATTTAGAATCAACTCCAGACCTTTTACCTGCTTAATTGATGAAGAAATAATGGAGTAGCCCACACCTAGCCAGGAAACAGCTTTTGATTCAAAATTGTCCAATTTCTTTTGGTCTTTTGAAAAAAGGGGGATGGCTAATTTTAAGAGCTGTAATTCCTAAACCCTTCCTTAATTTGGATGTACATACCCTTAAATTAAACCTGAGAGTGTGCACTTTCAGCCCATATCCATTATATAACTATAGCTTGAATACGTTTTGGTAAACACCTGAAAAATTGTGCCTGTGTCCAAATATATATGGAACTAACTGTACCTGCCTGGTGCCCCATGGTCTAGGCCACAAGGACTTTCCCTGTAATGTTGACACTGTCATGTGACTTCCTCAGCATTCCATTATTAATAAATAGAATAGTGCAGTGCTAAAACAATAAATCAGAGTTCAATGTAAGCAACAGTCTGTGTGACTAAAAGTGCCAGGTAACTGGCAGGATCAATGGCAGTGCTCCGTGAGAAATAGCAGAATTACGCACTCACCAGATGCGTAATAGTTATACACATGAAGTATCACATCTAGGGATTTCCTCATCAGATAATGGTCTGGTCGGGGTTAGGTACTCATCCTTCAGTGTGATAATCAGCAAAAAGCCCAGGTATCAGATAAATTGGATTCAGGTACCAGAGGTCCCTTTTAAGGGATAGGTAGAAGAGGGTGCCTATTTACAGGATATCTTCCTTCTCTGGGGCAGGCGACTGGATCTCAGTAGTGGGATGCCCATAGTGTAGTACTTCAATAAGGTATTTATTAGGAAAAAATGGTGTTTGCAAACATAAAATATATTGGTAAAAACAGCATCAGGGGAGTAGGGATGAACTAACCCTCCAAAATCAAAGATGGCCACGGGCCTCCACGTGGCTCTGGCGGCTTAGTGTCACGACATCCTGGCTCCTCCTTACGCATTACGTGCGCACGCACTTCATCAGAGGTCACTTTTTTACCTTTTATTAGCATTCCATTATGGAGTGAGTGTCAGGTGATCTCTGTGGTTCTTTAAACCCTTTCTGGAGCAATGTGTGTGTTTCTCAAGGTCCTGTACAGTGGTGATATCTGAGCTGCTACAGGGAACAGTTCTCCTGGTGGCATGTGCAATTTCACCATTTTGCATAAGTTAGGAAAAAATCTATACATTCTGTTCTAATTTTTGATCACTAAAAAAAAATAGCACAAAATAAAAAAACCTTAAAGAAAAATTGTACCACATGATGAAAATGATAATAAGCCTAGCACACTTATTGAATCAGCAGTATAATTCATATCTTTTTTACAACATAAACTGAACCCAGGACCCTGCATTCATTATATCTGGTCTCCCACAGTTCACAGAACATGGAAATGCTATTATTTTAGTAAGTATAAACTGCTAAATACCTTTTCTCATGAGCAGTCTTGTGACTTCTATCAGTCCACGGCAGAGCACTGGTTAAAACTTGAAGGAGTTTTCATTCTCCTCTGATTGTCCTATGAGGATGCAGGACCCATGGCCTCTGTCTGGACAGTGCTGATTGACCCTGTGTTGATCACATGTACTCTCCCCCCCAAAAAACTCTCTCTAGGAATACACATTAAACTGAGCATGTGCAGCTTGCCCCCAAGACTCTGTTCTATCAGCAGATGTATTGGGAACAGCAGAAGAAGGAGAGGATCAGAAAAGACAGGATCAAACATCTTTTTTACACAATGTGGATGATTAACCCCTTAGGCTCCATGGTGAGTATATCAAGCATGCTTTGCTGCATATACAGACTGATTTTATCGTTGTGAGTTTAGTAACACTTTAACCAATTGCCGACCACCCGTAGTAATTTTAGGCACTGTCACGTACCTTCCTTCCGGGTTCAGTGTCCAGAACCCGGCTGACTCCTGCTGTGATTGGACAAAGCAAAATTTTTGTCATCAGGTTTCAGTCAATGGTTCATGGCTAAGGCTTGCTGACTGGTTGTTCCCAATCACAGCCCAGAGTTCTACACACAACACAAGGCTCTGTACAGAAGGAAAGATATATGTTTTTCATGTGTCTGCAAAGCAGGGAGGAGGAACAAACAGATTTTTAGTAGTAAAAAGCAGCACATATTACACACATTAACACTTGTAAGAGCACACTTAACCCCTTGATTACCCCGAGATTTTAACTTCTTCCCAGCCAGTGTGACAGTGTATAGTATTTTCACTAATTACTGTACTAGTGTCACTGGTGATGTCAGTGTCAGTCTACCTCTCAGCCAGCATCAGTTAGTGTCAGATTGCTTGCCACACTGTCAAAGTCCCACTATAAATGGCTGATCACCACCATTACTAGTATAAAAAAAAATTCCATTATATATATACCATAGTTTGTAGATGATATAACTGTCACACAAACCAATCAATATACACTTACTGGGATTTTGTTTTATCAAGGACATTTAGCAGAATACATTCTGGCCTAAATTTATGAAGAATTTGGTTTTAATAAATTTTAAAACAGAAAGTAAAATGTATTGTTTGTGTTTTTTTTTAATTTTTGGTCTTTTTTAATTTATATAATAAAAAATAAAAAACTCAGTGGTGATCAGATACCACCAAAAGAAAGCTCTATTTGTGTGAAAAAAAATGTAAGTTTAATTTGGGTACGGCATTGCATGGCTATGCAATTACCAGATAAAGTAGCTCAGTGCTGAATAGCATAAAAATGCTCTGCTCATGAAGGGGGCCTTCCAGGGCTCAAGTGGTTATATTTTGAACTTTTTTTTTAAACTGGTAATTTTTTGGAGAGCTGTAAAAAAAAAGAGTGTTCTGTCTCTCTCTGACAAAGAAAATACATTATTTGCACTGAGAGAAAAATGAAGGCTGCTACTGCTAGACACTCCCTGGCAATACTAGATGCCTGGCCATCTCTCACTTCAATATTTTCTGAGTCATGGACCTGTAAGGCATACCAGGAGTGTAAGAGTTAGATTAAGTTCACATGGTGTTGAAAGGAAGTACATTTTCAATTCTTCTTAAGCCACTTCAGACCCATGTTGCTTGCATTAAAAAGCATTATGTGATGGTATTTGTCACTTTTTTTTGTAAGGAAAACAATTTAGAGAGGAAATGTTCTACAGGAAGCAATCTGCTTTGAGGTGTGGTTGATTTACGGATTGTGATCTGGAGTTTTTGTCATTCCAACTTGAGGACCTTGGGGGGAAGAAGATACACCTTAAAATCTACAGCAAAGTTTGTAGAGCTTATCTTTTTCTTGTCCCATGTGCTGCCCCCACAGAAAGCTGACAGCCTGCAGAGGCTTTGTATTACATAACACAAGCGGCTGTAAACATACACATGACATCAGTTAAAGAGGAACTATACTCACCTTGACTCCAGCGATGCAACGTCCTGGAGCACTGCCTGTTTGCCCTTTTTTTATTAGTTACCTAAAGTTCCACTTTAAAAGACCCTTTTTAACTACTTCCCATCTGCCCACAGCCTATAAAAGGAGGATGGAAAACAGCACTGATGCTGGTTAACGTACCTGTACATGTATATGTGAAATGCTGTGATACAGTAATGTTTTACGATGTGATTTTAGTGTATTTAGTGAATGTCACTTTTTAACAGTTTTAAATTTTCTGCTGGTTTCGGCCCCCGTACTTCCTGTACGTCCCGACGCTTGCAGGGACTGGAATCCGGAAGACGGCCAGAGGAGATGGTCGGGGACGCTGCAGGGGGGACATCGCGGGAGTGCAGGACAAGGTAAGTGAAACAGGGATCCCAGAGCAACGCTGCAGGGTAGTCCCGAGTGTAGCTCGGGGTTACCTCTTTTGGCACTGATAATTAACCCCGAGCTACACTCGGGAATACCGCCAGGGAGGTTAATATAGCAAACATTCTTCTTGCAGCCAGTAGCTCATCACCATCTTACTACTTTGCTGTGAATAGGCTGTAATTTGACCTGTTTTTCAGAACATACACAATTGAATAGGCAGGGTACGCACTTCATGGTCTCTACTCTGCATATATAGCTCCATGTGAAGTTGCAGTTAGACTCAAGGGACACTGCAGGCATCAATAAATCTCCTGGACCCAATTCTCCAAGGCCTTCTCCGTCTGAACAAGAATGATTATGCTGTGGTAACCTCTGCCTCTACTGTGGGGATGCAGGGCACTTTTTGCGAACTTGCCCCAGAAGACGCATTAGGAGCCCTTCTCCCCCAACCCGCATAGTAGCCGCTTTGGATTCTGGTCGAGCTTATACTATTCTACCAGTTTCCCTTAAGCTACCAGAAAAGACTCTTCCTGTTTCTGCTACTGTGGATTCTGGGGCCTTTAGCTGTTTTGTGGACTCCTCATTTGCTGCCCAGCATGAGCTACCTCTCTGTGCCACGAAGAGTAGTTTCTCAGTCCATCTGGTATGTGGTTCAAACATTAAATCTGGGCCTGTATCTATCCTATGTTCTACAACCTCAGAGCACTGTGAGTTTTTACGTCTGGATGTTATGACTTCTCCTTTGATTCCAATTATCTTGGGTCAGCCATGGTTGAAGGCTCATAATCCCTGCATCGACTGGTCCACTAGGGAAGTGACTTTCCAATCTAGTTACTGCAAGAAGTTTTGTCTTCCTCCAGCAACTAAGCCAGGAGAAATACTCCTCAATTTTAATATAAACTTTGAAACTGCTAAACTGGTACCCGCAGTTTACCATAAGTACCTTAATGTCTTTAATAAAAAGAACACTGACTCTCTTTCTCCTCATAGACCATACGACTGTCCTATTGAACTTTTTACCGGGAGCTGAAACTCCCTTTGGACAAATTTAGCTGCTTTCTGAACTAGAATGGGAGGAGATCTGCATAAATACATTGATGAAAATCTTGACAAGGGGTTTATCAGGCCCTCTACATCACCAGCTGGGGCTGGTATTTTCTTTGTTGAAAAAAAAATGAAAAGACACTTCGACCGTGTGTGGACTACCGAGATCTTAATAATGTAACCATTAAAAACCGGTACCCCAGAACTATTCAAAAGATTTCAAGATGCATGAGTATTCTCCAAGCTGGACCTGATGGGAGCATACAACTTAATTAGAATCAGGGAAGGTGACAAGTGGTAAACGCCTTTCGGGCTTGCTTTGGGCACTTTGAATACCTTGTGATGCCCTTTGGACTCTGTAAAGTGCCAGCTACTTTTCAGCACTTGGTAAATAACATCTTTTGGGACTTCCTGGACTTGTTCATTATCGTCTACTTAGATGATGTTCTAATTTTTTCTGCTTCACTAGAGATCCATCCTTTATGCAAAACCCCAAAAATGCAAATTCGAAAGACTTTCCATTCAGTTCTTGGTACTTATTATCTCTACAGATGGAATTGCCATGGATCCTCAGAAGGTGTCTGCAATACTCGATTGGCCGGTCCCCACTGATAAGAAAGTGGTGCAGCGGTTTGTGGGGTTTGCCAACTTTTACAGAAAGTTTATTAAAGACTTTTCTGGTATCACTTCCCTGATTACGCAGCTGACAAAACACAGCACAGCTTTTTCCTGGACTTTAGAGGCTCAAGCTGCATTTGAAAGACTGAAGGGTTTCTTTACATCTGCACTTATCCTTAAACATCCTGATCTTGCATTGCCATATGTCCTGGAGGTGGATGCTTCTGAGAATGCCGTGGGGGCCATACTGTCGCAACGACAGAGAACTAAGTCCTTACTCCATCCTGTTGCCTTTTTCTCTAGGAAGTTAAGTCCTCCAGAGAGGAACTATGATGTAGGCGATCGGGAGCTACTTGCCTTTAAATCAGCTTTGGAGGAATGGCGATACCTGCTGGAGAGAGCAGCACATCCTGTTCTTGTGTTGACAGATCATAAGAACCTTGAATATTTAAGGGTAGCTAAATGTCTAAGACCCCGCCAAGCCAGATGGGCACTTTTCTTCTCTAGGTTTAATTTCCATATTACGTATCGGCCTGGGTCAAAGAATGGGAAGCCCGATGCCCTTTTTCAAATGTTTCAAGGTACTGGGGTGCCTCCTGAACCTGACACAAATCTACCTGCTCAGAAATTCTTGTTATTACAAGCTGATCTCGTATCTCAGATAAAGACATCAGTCCTGGATTATCCTCCACCTCAAGAACTTTGTCTCGAACTCAAAGAGGGCCTCTACTTCTATGATGAGCAGATCTTTATTCCAGAGCAATTTCAGACAGCAATTCTTTACATGTGTCAAAATCATCCTCTGGCAGGTCATTTTGGAGTTCATAAGACTTCACACTTAATTCTTTGCTCAGAAAGGATTTACCACCATCTTAGTGGTGGTGGATCGTTTGTCCAAGATGGCCCACTTTGTGCCTTTAAAAGGAACTCCTTCTGCTGCAGAGACTGCATCTGCCTTCATCAAGGAGGTAGTATGCCTACATGGTGTCCCCAGTAACATCATTTCTGATCATGGGGTGCAGTTCACTTCCAGGTTCTGGAGGTCCTTATTTGAAGTGTTGGGCATTGAACGTTTTCTGTCTTCGGCATACCATCCACAAACTAATGGTCAGACGGAGAGGACAAACCAGACCTCGGTGCATTCCACCAGTAAACAGACACCATTCTTTGTGAATTATGGATTTCATCCTTCCTTTCAGCCAGATTTGCCTTGAGTATCTTCAGTACCAGCTGTGCAGGATCGCCTAGAATTTTGGAGGTCCAATAAACAGTTCTTGCAAGAAGCGATTGTTAAATCTCAAGCAAACAATAAAAGGTTTTTTGATAAGAAGAAGATGGGTAATCTGGATCTAGAACCTGGAGATAAGGAATGGCTATCCACTGCTAACTTAAAATTGACCTGTCCCTCAAAGATGTTAGGACCAAGATATATCGGGCCTTTTCTTTAAAGAGGCAGTGGCTTTTGAGTTAACTCTGCCTAAGAGCTTAAGAATTCATCCTGTGTTTCATATTTCATTATTAAAACGGACTGTTTCAAACCCATTTCCTGATCGGGAACCAGAGGCTCCAGCTCTACTGCTTGCTGAAGGAAGTGAAGAATATGAGGTTGAAGCCATCCTAGATTACAGGAAGAGAGGGAATCAGACTCTCATTACATGGAAAGGCAACAGCCCAGAAGATAATTGTTGGCAATCTTCCTCCTAACGTTCACGCTCCACGGTTGGTGCAGATTTACCTCCACCTTCATCATAAAAAACAGACTATGGTTGGCATCTAGAGGCTGCCCCTGGGGGGGGGGGGCAATGTAAGGGAATTCCTGTATGGCAACTGGCGCATAGAAATGCACATGCGCACAACATCACGCATAGAAATGAGCATAGGCTACCTATAATATCAGCGCCGGTTGTCTTGGTGTGTTCCGGTCTCATGCTTATCAGAAGTTCCGGCAAGCCACGCACCCAGATCTTGCAGTGAGCACTGTGTTTCGGTCTTTCTGTTGCATGAGATCAATTTTGGCCTGATGTCAGAGTGAGTGAAAGGTGAGAGGAGATAAGAAGATATGTCACTGTGACTGAGGAGTTGAGTACACCCAGATGAGCACATAATTTCTTTTCTTGGGGTGAGCAGTTTTTTTTCCCCTGGTGTGGTGGAGGATCACTGAATATTACTAAAGAGGATATTCACGGAAGTGATACACATCACTGAGGGGATTATTTATGGACTCTTTAGTTTATCACTTGTACATGTTTTTCAAAAGAAGTATTTATGTTTTCTAACAATTATTAATTTAGAGACTTGCACCGCATTAGTAATTTGTAAATATATTCGGTATAAATATATGACTATAAAAGAGTTACTACCAAACAGCAGGCACCCTAAGGTAACATATAATACTATTCAGAGTCCTCAGAGAGCTGAAAAAGTACCCCCTCCCTGAAAGAAAAGACAATTTCTCATTGTGCAAATAATAGACATCAGGAAATTGCCATCTATTGTCACTCTATAGGCATCTTCATGGAACAATAAAAGGTCTCATTTGACTCTTTTCCTGACTACACATTTACTAGTTATTCAATAAGAGTACAAAATTTATTGTGTAGTAAGCCACAGCTACAAATCAGAATTCACTTTCCCAAAGACAGACCAGCACATGCTAGATTCACACTGGATGAAATGAATATTAGTCTACTTTCTGTGTTCATTCTCTAACGCTTTATTAAATAAACCAGGTAACGTTTTACTAAACGCAGGACCCTGCATTCACTGTATCTGGTCTCCCATAGTACGCAGAACAGGGAAATGCAATTATTTTAGTAAATATGAACTGCTAAATACCTTTTCTCTTCAGCAGTTAGAGCAGTCTTGTGACTTCTATCACTGTCCAGCAGAGCACTGGTTAAAGCTTGAATGAGTTTTCATTCTCCTCTCACTGTCCTATGAGACTGCAGGACTCCTGACCCTCTGTCTGGACAATGCTGATTGGCCCTGTGCTGACCATTTGCACTCTCCCAAGAAAGAAAAAAACTTCCTAGCAATACACACCAAAATGAGCATGTGCAGCTTGTTCCCAAGGCTCTGTTCTATCAGTCGGGGACAGTGGAAAAAGGGGAGGATCCAAGACGACAGGATTAAACATCCTTTTTACACCCTTTTTAACCCCTTAAGTTCCACAGAGAGTATAACAAGCATGCTTTACTGGATATACAGATTGATTTTACTGTTGTGGGTTTAGTGACACTTTAATGTCTTGGAGACATACAGTACCTTGTTTTCAGATGCTTTATTTGCTGGAAAATTAGGTGGTGTATCTAAGTGACACTGCCAGCTGTCGGTCAATATCATATTATAATATAATATCAAAACCTATTTTTAGAACTTTTAAATGCAAAATTGAATATCCACATATCCAAATCTTTTGTACAACCTCAGATTGTCAGTTTATCTAGTTTTCCTATTTGTTTATTTTTCAAATTTGTTTATACTGTGACCCTCTAAACTCAGTAGTCCTGAATGTATATGATATATAATGTCTTTATTTGATCTTCATTTGTTTGCAGATAGTCAGAGCAAAGATGAATGGCTAGTGCCCAAGATCTTGGAGCGGCGTTTTGTACCAGCATACCTTACATGTGTAGCTTGGGAAGGTTTCAACTTTGTGGGACATGAGATAAAAATAGTAGAATCCACAGACCTCTTTGGAGCAACTGTATGGCCCTCAGTAAGTATGAAACACTAATAGGGTCAGTCCATACATAAGTTGAATTTAAATTTAGGGTGGAGACAGGCTTGTTGAATCAACCAATGTCTTCGTGTATGCATTGTAGATTCCAAAAGCAAAACCTCATTCCCTATGATATAGCTATAGTCAGGAAGGCATCTTTCTTTTCATCCCTCTCGATTGCACTTTCTTTCTCATTCTTTCTCTTGTTTTCCACTTAGTTTAAACTACCAAAAATGAGGCCTACAAAAGGAAGAGTGAGACTCTATGTTGTGAGAAGGGTACAAAGCCAGAAACAACTTTGGAGAAGTCTTATTAATATTAATTTGGGTAGACTTATCCTTAAAACTCCAAATAGCATGGTGGTTAGGATGCAAGTATCAAGTAAAATTGATGCTCATGCGCAAACTGTCATTTGCTGTAATGTCTTTTATACAAGAGTTTTCAGTTCTGTGCCAAATGATAATTGGATATCGACTGTTTTTGATTATGATGAGGTCCCACAGGCACTGGATACAAAATTACAATCTAGCACTTGTACTGCTTTGGTTGGCTTTCCACCTCAGGATGATCTTCCGGCAGAGCTTGGTTTCAGAATACAAAGGGATGCCCTCCCCCTCTTTTTTATTAATGCAGAAGTGATAAAGCAAAGTGAGAGGTAGAGCTTGACTTCTTCAGTCACAATCAGGTGGGCCCTTTTGTTAAGGGAATGGGCATTAGTGTCTGATTCGAAATTGCATGCTTCAGAACCTTCAGAGTGCTGCTAGAGCATTTTAGAGCCTATAGAATGGAGCCCCTGTCTTTTGGCCAACCTCCCACCCTAAAACAAATGATTGTCTGCAGCACCTTACAAAATTCATCCATGAGTGGTAGATCTCCCTACCCACAAAAACAGTGTGTGCAGAGTTACAACAATCTCAGCTTACCTACAGGTTTCAAGGTGGTGCTTCTGTGCACCTGTGCCATGTGATAGCTGTGGCCAATCACAGCTATCACAATTGTACACAATGGCACATGAATGGATGCCATTTATAAAAAATGATTGCTTATAACAGTGATCATCCCGATGAGGACGGTGATCCAGTTGATGCTGAAGTGCTGGCAGCCATCTTGATGTATATACTGTATATATAGGGGACCAATGTCTTTTGGCATGCCCCCAGTGTTGCAGTGGGTAGGGAAAGAGCTCAGCTGGGCAGAGAAAGCACAGATGCAGTACTAGGAAGAGGTTCCAGATGTGTATGGATGTGCAGGTTTCCTTTCCAGAGTGTCCACACTGCAGCATTCCCAGATTGAATTTAGCCGTGACGTTCAGCAGCAGCTTTGCAGAATCTAGCTACAGTTACTTTCCCACCACCCCATCCAATGGAGCACTCCTCTGGCACAGTGAAGTTGTAAGAAGAATTGGTATTACTGGAGAGTTGAAATCTAGTGCCTTACTAGTATTCTGAAGACAAGGAAAATAGCAAATCACAGCCTAAGTAGTGTCAACATTATATTTGACTGTTGTGCCCTGTTGGTTGACTGTTGGACTTGTTAAATCTTTTTTTCATAAAAAAACAACTGACTGGTTACACACTGTTAATAAAGAGCAATTTTGTACAATGTAGGAAAAAAAGGGTAACTGAACACTGGATGAATAAGTAACAGCGGGAAGGATACTTGGAGTTAAGCTGCATAGAGCAATGAGTTGTTTGTTTGTTTGTTATCATCCAAGCATATTCGCAGTAGTACTAAAAACTAGGCTTTTTTTCAGTTGTTGTTAGTATCAAACTCTTCTGCAAAAAAAAACTTGAGTGTTTAATGTCACATTAAAGCATGGATGGGGATTATTATAGGGGATAATAAGATGAATAAAGGAATAGCACCTAGACCTGTAAAAGTTACACTAATGATATGCAGAGGAATATTTTCCAAGTCAAGATATCTTGGAAACCTTATAACTGTATATTTGTATTAGAACATGCTAAGCAGGGTTAGGCACCGTACACGCAATGAAAATATCAAACAAATGATCATCCATTTTTTTTTGCATGCTAGTCTCATATTAATAATAAAAAGGTTACTAAAGTTACGAAAATTTTCGACGACAGAATAAAAATTTGGAAGTGATGTCATGTATTTGTATTGTATTTTCAGACAAAATCTGTACTGATTAAACTAAAAGTATACGACCTGGTATCGTACGAAAAAAAAATTTGCGCTTGTCCCTTCCAATAATTTGGGATGAAAACTGTGTACTAACGATCAGATTATTGTACGATCACTTCGAAAGCTTTATTTTTTGTACAATTTCCTGATTCAGACATTTGTAAAACAGAATCCTTTGTATGTTTGCTTTTGAAGGATGTACCATATTTGGTCTTAATTATTGTGCTTATACAGAATGTTTGTGTGACTACTTGATGTACTGTATATTTCTTCCAAAAAAAGACCACAAATGTATCAATAAAATTTTAGATAAATGTGCAAACACAGGATTTCTTGTATGTATAGTTGAACTGTTTCCTATTAGCATAATTTGAGAGTGGTCATTTATTGTTTACTATTGAAATGCTTTTTACAGGTGATTGCACTGGTGATTGGTAATGAATAATAATAAAGAAAACTGACAATTGGTGCATACCTCTTTAAACCGTAGGTTTGGGTATGCTTGGAGAACTCCAACATGACCAGAGAAATCTTCTGAGGTTTTGCAGCTTGGATCACAAATGGTTATCTTGTAGCTGATGTGAAACAAACTAATACATTACTGGAGAGAGCCTGAACCAATGCTAACTAAGGAAGATATATTTCTGCTAGAGCAGAACTGATCTTCTGTAATACGCTGTCCTGGAGGAGCCATGCATGGAAGGATAGGGAGAGCTCAGACTAGCCTCGAGCAGAACAGTCTGAGCACATACAGGAACCTGGCCATTGCAGAAATATTGTCTATAGGGCGGGGGTCTACAAACCTTCTAAACAAAGGGTCAGTTTACTGTTCTTTTGACTTTAAAGGGACAGTGCCCCATCTTTGGTACTAGGGGGAGGAATAGTGTCCCTTTTGTTGGTGTCCGTGGGAGAAATAGTGCCTCATTGTTGGTGTCCATCATTGGCGTGGGAGGAATAGTGCCTCATCATTGGTGTCAGTAGGAGGAAAAGTGCCCTATTATTGGTGTCAGTGGGAGAAATAGTGCCCTGTTGTTGTTGTCAGTGGGAGGAATAGTGCCCCATCATTGGTGTCAGTGGGAAAAATGATGCCTTTTATCATTGGGAAGAATAGTGCTCCAAGGGCTGGATAAAGGCAACATTTGGCCCTGGGAATAGTGCCCTTATCATTGGTGTCAGTGGGAGGACTAGTACCTCATTATTGGTGTCAGTGGGAGGAATAGTGCCTCATTGTTGCTGTCATTGGAAGGAATAGTACCCCTATTGTTGGTGTCAGTGAAAAGAATACGTGCCCCATCATTGGTGTCAGTGGGAGGACTAGTGCCTCATTGTTGGTGTCAGTGGATGGAATAGTACCCCCATTGTTGGTGTCAGTGGGAGGAATAGTGCCCCATCATTGGTGTCAGTGGGAGGAATGATGCCTTTTTATCATTGGGAAGAATAGTGCCCCAAGGGATGGATAAAGGCAAGCAAAAGGCACCATTTGGCCCTGGGGCCACAGGTTAGAGACCACATACTAGTCATTTGGAGATTGTAAAGATGGAATATAGAGCAAGTTGAACTGTGAGAAATTATGATGCGAACACATTGTATATATTACCACCAAAATTTCTAAGAAGATATATCCTGTATCAAAGCTGGTATATTAGGATTCTAGGTGTACAAACTTTTTGACATAAAAAAAAAACTACCTATAAATCGGAGTATCGATTTGGATAAAAAGAAATACCCGTGAAGTGCATTATGTTTATAGATTTTTTAATATCATGTTTGTACCCTAACGTAAAAGTTGTTGTAAGTTTTTTGTATTACACTTCAGTATGTTTTTAATACTTGATCGATATCTTTTGATATGTATTTGTGATCCCTACAGGCACTTGTACTTTGTTACTTTTTGGAAAAAAATGCAAAGCAGTTGGGGTTAGAGGACAAACGCATCATTGAAATTGGATCTGGAACCGGGCTAGTTTCTATAGTAGCTAGTTTACTGGGTAAGTATGATTTAATTTATTGGTTGGGATGTCATGATAAACTGTAGCAATCTGATTTTTAAAAGTCAGATCGGGTTAATGCGTTTTGATGTTTTGGATGGAGTGATAAATCCTTACATGGCCTCAGCTTGATATTGCAGTTATATTATTGTATAAAGTACCTTCTAATAAATGCTTCATAGAGATATAACCTAGAAGCCACTGGTACTGCCAGCCGAGCTCTCAGCCTATTGTTGACGTGTTGAAGATGAAGGGAGATCTCAGGATCTCTATCACTGTTGTAATAAGAGAAAACTGCAGGGAAAAGCAGTGAGCCAAATGCAAGAGAAGGATATGACATTTCTGTTGACATTCTGTGCACAGTCCACAAGTCACAAATTAATGCAATTATGTGTTCATTTATAACATCTTCTTGTATTTTATTTTTTAATCAACTTGGGAAGATACCTGAATTTTACTTACATAAAGAAGGAAGTCACTGCAAACTGTTAAGGACCTATTTGCCAAGATGCGCTGCAGCAAAGTAACATTATTATATAAATAAAAAGTAGTACAGGCGCGCACAGTTCTTGAGCAGGAGTATGTATCCAAACAAGAGGAGTGGATTGTGTCTAATGTTTTGAAAGATCGCAGTCTATTCTTTCCAATGTTACGATGGACTGCTACCCATCGTAACATTGGAAAGAATAAATTCCTCCTCAGTATGTATGAATGGTGCTGCTCAGTATTAATAAGATAGTGCTAAATACTTTCATAATGTGCTCAAAGAAACTAATATACTTCTGGCAAAAAAAAAAAAAATATCCACATGTACCTATTTAAATATCCACGTGTCACTTTAAATGTGAAATGCACAACCACAGTACCAGTTGCAATCTCGAATGTGTTCAAATATAAGAAAAATGGAAAATATACTGGAAACAAAATATGCACGTGTACCTCTTCAAATATCCACGTGTACTACTTTAAATGTGAAATGCACAACTACTATGACAGTTACAATCTCAAAATATCCATGTGGACTTATTCAAATATCCACATGTACCACTTAAAGTGTGAAAGTGTACAACTACAATGACAGTATGTGAGGGGAGTCACTTTGGGTGGGAGGCCCATGGAACCAAGCTCACTTTGGAGAGGTGGGGAGACCCCTGTCTCAGCTCCCCATATCCCTCTTATGTGTGAATCACCCTGTGCCTGTTAGGCGTACAGGGTGATCTGTCCTAATATTGGGGTGGGGGGTTGTTGATTGTTTAATGTCATGGCCGCTCACACACTTCCTGGTAGAGGCATGATGTCACCAGCTCCGCCTTATGTGTGTTGTCAATCATGTGACTTCCTCAGGTAATTTTGTATTTCCTTTTAATAAATTTCCTCCTGTTTGGACATATACTCCTCTTCAAGACATGTGAGTGACACTAAGTTCTATTTATCCATTGAGTTTTACTACAGGCAGACATTCAGCCTCTTGCCTCTCCCCCAAATAGCTGAAATCCGACTGTGAGATCAAGGAGCAGGATTTGGAGCCAATCAGGTGTGCTGCATGCAAATGTGTTAACAAGAAACGTGTTGACAAAAGGAGAAAGCAGAGCAAGCAGAAGGCAGACCCACCAGTCCGCTGCTGCTCTTTCACTGTCCATTCAGAAGGCTATGGTTGGGAAGAGGGCACCCTTGTATTTTTTATGGGCCCACTCATACCAGGATATGAAAACTCACCCTGCTCTGTGTTTTTTAATGCAGTTCAATACACGGTGTGCCTCATTGCGCTGAGGCACAAGTGCATTCTGTAGATGCTCCGAGGCGGAGTTCAATATTCATAGCATCATAACAATTTGTACCATGCACTGATTACTACTGTGCTTTGTGGTAATGCAAATGTCTTACTACACATTACCATAACACAATGGTGTCAACAGACCCAAAGTGTGATATCATCTGCCTGGCTGTACTGCATGGCTGTGTATGCTTTAGGACTGGAAGGACATAAATGCAAATCATTTGGTAGGTAAAACCGCTCCCTTGTATGCATTCCATCAAAAGTCCAGCTTTGAAGTAAATGAAAACCCTAAATATAACTATTCTTAAAAATGTTCCCTCTTCCCTCCTCCTATCTATCCTGCATAAACAAGGTCTGTGTAATTACCTAATTTTATCTTGCTCTAATCCAGTCACAGGGGAGATGAGGGAGCTCCAACAACAGCTGGGCCATGCGATGGGTGATGTCACAGCTTCTGGAATTCACAGCCATTGTTGAGCACTCACACAGAGTTTGCAGGATCATGTGACCAGACCAGAGCAAGGAAAAGCTCGACAACACAGTCCCAGAGCTTCGGTCATGTGATCCTGTAAATCTGTGCAAGGGAACGCTCAAGAACACAGTTCCAGAGCTCTGGTCATGTGATCCTATAAATCTGTGCAAGGGAACGCTCGACAACACAGTCCCAGAGCTCCGGTCATGTGATCCTGTAACTCTGTGCAAGGGAACGCTCGAGAACACAGTTCCAGAGCTCTGGTCATGTGATCTTGTAAATCTGTGCAAGGGAACGCTTGGCAACACAGTCCCAGAGCTTTGGTCATGTGATCCTGTAACTCTGTGCAAGGGAATGTTCGACAACACTGGACCAGAGCTCCAGTCATGTGATCCTGTAACTCTGTGCAAGGGAAAGCTCAACAACACAGTCCCAGAGCTCCGGTCATGTGATCCTGTAACTCTGTGCAAAGGAATGTTCGACAACACAGTCCCAGAGCTCCAGTCATGTGATCCTGTAACTCTGTGCAAGGGAATGTTCGACAACACAGTCCCAGAGCTCCGGTCATGTGATCCTGTAACTCTGTGCAAAGGAATGTTCGACAACACAGTCCCAGAGCTCCAGTCATGTGATCCTGTAACTCTGTGCAAGGGAAAGCTCAACAACACAGTCCCAGAGCTCCGGTCATGTGATCCTGTAACTCTGTGCAAAGGAAAGCTCAACAACACCGAACCAGAGCTACGGTTATGTGATCCTGTAACTCTGTGCAAGGGAACGCTTGACAACACAGTTCCAGAGCTCTGGTCATGTGATCCGGTAACTCTGTGTTTTCGAGTGTTCCCTTGCACAGTCCCAGAGCTCCGGTCATAAGATCCTGTAAATCTGTGCAAAGCAATGCTCAACAACACAGTCCCAGAGCTCCGGTCATTTTTATATATATTTATTTATATTTATTGAAATAGCTCCGGTCATGTGATTCTGGAAATCTGTGCAAAGGAACGTATGACAACAGACCAAAGCTCTGGTTATGTGATCCTGTAACTCTGTGCAAGGGAACACTCGACAACACAGGAACCAGAGCTCCAGTCATTTGATCCTGCAATTCTCTGCAAGGGAATGCATGACAACAATCGGACCAGAGCTCTGGTCATGTGATACTGCAACTCTGTGTATGCGAGCCAGAGCTTTAGGATCATGTGACTGGACCAGAGCAAGCTAAAATAGGTAAATACACAGATCTTTTTTTATACTGGTTAGGCAGAATAGGTAGGCAGAGGGGTGGGGGGGCATTTTAAAGAACAGTTATACGTTGTAGTTAGATATCTTCCAATTTAACTAATGTACAGATTATACACAAAATAAAGGTTTTCCACAAAAAAAAAAAAAGTGTTTATGTACAGTTGTGTTCAAAATAATAGCAGTGTGTTGAAAAAAGTGAATAAAGCTCAAAACCTTCTAATAGCTTTTATTTCCATACACACAAATGCATTGGGAACACTACACATTCTATTCCAAATCAAAACAGGAAGAAAAATATATCAAATTTGTGTTGTTCCTCTAAAAAAAATTGAAGAAAAGTGAATATTAGTCTGTTCAAAAAAATAGCAGTGTTTGTATTCTTCTTTACAAACTCAAACATTCACTATATAAACTGAAAAATGTTTGAAGATTCTGCTTTCCTTTGAAGCACTTACTTAATATTTAGTTGTATAAACACTGTTTCTGAGAACTGCTGTACATCTGTGTTGCATGGAGTCAACCAACTTCTGGCACCTGTGAACAGGTATTCCAGCCCAGGATGATTGGACTACATTCCACAGTTCTTCTCTATTTCTTGGTTTTGCCTCAGAAACTGCATTTTTGATGTCACCCCACAAGTTTTCTATTGGATTAAGATCCAGGGATTGGGCTGGCCACTCCATAACATCAATCTTGTTGGTCTGGAACCAAAATGTTGCACGTTTACTGGTGTGTTTGGGGTCGTTGTCTTGTTGGAACACCCATTTCAAGGGCATTTCCTCTTCAGCATAAGGCAGCATGACCTCTTCAAGCATTCTGATGTATTCAAACTGATCCATGATCCCTGGTATGCAATAAATAGGCCCAACACTGTAGTATGAGAAACATCCCCATATCATGATGCTTGCGCAACCATGCTTCACTGTCTTCACAGTGTACTGTGGCTTGAATTCAGTGTTTGGGGGTCGTCTGACAAACTGTCTCCGGCCACTAGACCCAAAATGAACAATCTTACTTTCATCAGTCCACAAAATGTTGCGCCATTTCTCTTTAGGCCAGTCAATGTGCTCTTTGGCAAATTGTAACCTCTTCAGCACGTCTTTTTTCCAACAGTGGGACTTTGCGGGGTCTTCTTGCAGATAGCTTGGCTTCACATAGGCATCTTCTAATTCTAACAGCACTCACAGGTAACTTTAGACCTTCTTTGATCTTCCTGGAGCTGATTGTTGGCTGAGTCCTTGCCATTTTGGCTATTCTTCTATCCATTCGAATGGTAGTTTTTCGCTTTCTTCCACATCTTTCAGGTTTTGGTTGCCATTTTAGAGCATTTGCGATCATTTTAGCTGAGCAGCCTTTCATTTTCTGCACTTCTTTATATGTTTTCCCCTCTCCAATCAACTTTTTAATCAAGGTACGCTGTTCTTCTGAACAATGTCTGGAACGACCCATTTTCCTCAGAATTTCAGAGAGAAATGCACTGTAACCAGCATGTACAACATTTGCTGCTTTCCTTCCTTAAATAAGCGCAATAATTGCCATCTGTTTTTCAAAGAATGAATGACTTCACTAATAGAACTCCACACTGCTATTATTTTGAACAAGCCCCTTTCAATTAGTGATTCAATTACACAGAATCAGCAGCATGCATGTTATGACTGTTGTGTCTGTTGGATTTCTATTACTCTACTACACCTGCTAGTAAATTATTTGCCATGTAGAAATATCATTTCTACCAAAAACAGTAATTGATCAGGTTAGTGATGTCTGCTATTATTTTGAACACAACTGTATATAAAGAGATTGTGCACTTACTGAGTCTTGTTTTAAGTTTGAATTTTGACACTTATTTTCTTAATGCAGGAGCACAAGTTATAGCAACAGACCTGGAGGACCTGATTGGTAACCTACAGTATAATGTTGTTCGAAATACAAAACTGAAATGCAAACATGTACCACAAGTTAAAGAGCTGACTTGGGGATCCAATCTGGAGGAGAAATGTCCTGAATCCTCCTCACACTTTGACTACATCCTTGCTGCAGACGTAGTGTACAACCATCCGTACCTGAATGAACTTCTGGAGACATTTGATCACTTGTGCCAAGAGAAGACCATTATCCTGTGGGCCATGAAATTCAGAAAGGAGAATACCCTTATACAAAACAATTTTTTTCACAATTTTCAGAAACTGTTTGACATGGAGGCTATCTATGATCTACCAAGTCTAGGTATAAAACTTTACAAGGCAAGAAGAAGATGTACGTTTACTAAATAAAGATGGATCTGGCATGAAATACTTTGGTTAAAAATAGGGCATTTACAGGTATTAAACATTCACCTAATTTTCAACTTGGTCAGCACATAGCTTAAAATATCATTCAAACTGAGCTGCATCAGCACAGGAGATAAAATAATTTTTATCAACAAAATATATCAAGAAAATTATAAAAGATTAACTGTTTTTTTTCCAAATAATAAAAGATTTACTGTTAGTTTGCAGTTGTAGATTTGATCATGTTACTATCACAGAAAAAATGTTAATTCTTTAGAAATAAAAGTGAAATCAAAATTATATATTATAATTAGGACATGCCTATATTTGTGATTTTTTTTTTTAAATTTATTTTACTGGAAACCTGACAACCCAATTCTAGAGAAACACAGTCACCTATAGTAGTTTATTTAGCAAGTGTGTGTGTATAAGATGGTGCAACGACATTATAGGTTGATCTGACAAACTGGAATATAGATTTGACGAGTATTTATGGTACAAATGACATCTTGAAGTGAATTATTAACGAGCTCTTGTAATATGTAATTTTATATGCTAACATTTGCATACCATAGTATAAAGCTTTCGTAGGAATTTATTCTGCAGGGAAATGCTACGCATGGCACACACATTATATCCTTTACTGTATATGTTATGCCACACATGTCTAATGTTTACACTTGTTAAATTCTATATCGGTCACATACTATGAAGTAATGTGTGCACCATTCCCTAGATAGAACTAGCAATTCAAAATGTCATATGTCACTTTGTTCCTTTAGTTGCTCTTTCATGCCCGCTTAAGCCCAAGGGCTAATAATTAGTAAAGTATTTATATAGCATTTACCATATGCAGTAGAAAACTGGAGCAAGACATGGCAACCAATGACAGCCAATGACATTAATTTAGAAATGCCTTGTCTGATGGTTTACAGATCAATAAATATTTATGAATACTATTTCTCTTCATATAATATTATTGTTACTCTATTATGGATAGGTGGGGGAAAAAATATGTTTAACCCTTTCTCTGCCAGAGCCAATTTTGTGTTTTTACACACCTATTTAAAAAAATATTTTTAGGCCTGAAGACTACATAAAACCTCCAAAACATTATATATTTTCTGAAAGCAGACATCCTAGAGAAGACAGTAGTAGTTCCAATTTTTTTATGTCACATGGTATTAACACAAAGGTCTAGGAAATGCAACATTTCAGTAAAAATACACTAAAGTTAATTTTAGCGCACACAAGTGCAAATAATTACTAATTTTTTGTGAAATATAAAAGATGAGGTTGCCCTGAGTAAATAGATGCCCAACATGTCTAACCTTAACCTCTTGGCGTTGGCCGCACGCAAATGTGCGGCCTCCCAGCGTCTGGGCCATGACGTTGAGCGGCCGCACATTTGCATGCAATTAAGAAAAACATATGTGCTGAGAGCGCGCGCCCTGCGCACTCCCAGCACACATGTCTGGTACTCACGGAAAGGTCCCGATCTCCTCTTTCAATCGGGACCTTTCCTGATCATGTGACCACCATGATGCAGTGAATGACAGCAGTCACATAATCCTAAAACCCCGCCCCGCCTCCCGGCTTCTGAAACCCTTAAAGGGCCAGGAGGCGCCGGCGCCAAGGGGTTAAATTTGCATGCACCATCCATGAAATAGCAAACTTCAGTACCCTGGATTTTCTATAGGCATTGCTGTAAAAGCCCCCTATAGGTCATCAGTTTATGGTTATGGAGGAGGTCTGGTGCTAGAAATATTGTCTCACTTCAGCGTGTACAGTGATATTTAAGGTGTGTCGCAATTCACGTTTTCGTGCGTAGGCGCCCTCGACACACGTGTTCACGTTCGTACATGCATATATATATCGGGGACCTCAGAAATTTTTGGGGAGGGGATTTTATACGCTTGGGTGTAACACTGACTTTTTACAATTTAAAAAATAAATTTTTTTACTTAACTTTTTTTTTTTTTCATCACATTGGGGAAAAAAAGTCCCCTATGTGATGATTTTTTTGTGACAAGTTCTCTTTAAGGAGACATTCAGGGTCTAAATGACCCTGGATGTCTTCTCTGTGATCCACTAAATGTAAGAACAGTGCAGAACGCATTGCAATACATTTTTTCCCCGCCATACTGGCTGGGAAAACTGACACCAGGACCCGGAAGTGACATTTAACAAGTCGCTTCCAGGTCAGCAACAAGAAGGGGAGAAGCGTGGATATGTGTCTGCCCAGCGGCACCTGCTATGTCGATCCTGGGCCCACAGATGAGCAGAGAGGTAGCACATTACCAAGGGTGTGTGGATGCAATTGGGCGGCAGCGCAGCCACCAGAATTCTTCCATCTGACAGGCAGGAGTCAGCTTGTCAGATCTGCACACACTCCTGGTGGCTGCAGCCACCAGGAATGTGTGTAAAACCCATATATGGGATGTACAGACCTGGAAGCAAAAGGATTAAACTGCTGCTGTAATTTTGTATAAGCATAATGTGGTGAAGAAGGAGGACAGGAAAAGGGCACAAAGTTCTTGCTGTGTATTTTATTTAATTCATACTCTAGTCCTAAATGAATTCATATCATTTCATGTTTGATGTAGCAGTTGCATAGTACATAAAGTAATGAATGGTACAGCTGTAATTCTTAAAATAATGCTTGTCACTTCACTCTGTTCTTCACCACCATAACGTGCCTTCCTAGAGCTGCCAAGCAACATGGATCATAGTGCGTACCTGCAAATCTGCAAAAACACTAAAAAGCACAAAGATGTGAACCTAGTCTTAGTAAAACAAAATAAAGCTCTGACAGGAATGTACAGTACCCAAACCACCCAATCAGAATCTGTTTTGTATTGCTATGACCAGGGGCGGACTGACAAGTCATGGGGCCCCCGGGCAATAGGGGATTATGGGGCCCCCGTGTCCTCGCCCACACCCAAAAAAGCCTATGAAAAAGCCAATGAAAGGTACCAGGGGCATCTCATGGGGTCCCCTACTGACCCTGGGCCCTTTGCCAGTGCCCGAGTGGCTAAATGGCCAGTCCACCCCTGGCTATGACTCTAGTTAAATCAGACTTTTCCCACCTTCATTAACTACTTGCCGACCCGCAGATAGCCAAATGACGGCTGCACTGCGGCCGGCCAGTTCTGGGTGGGCGTCATATGACGTCCTCCCAGAACGTGCTCTCCGGCGCGCATCTGGCGATCTCCATGATCTCTGTGTCCTACGGACACAGATGATCACGTGATGTGGTAAAAGGCCAATCACAGCGGCCTTTTACCACGTGATCAGCCGTGTCCAATGACACGCTGATCACCGGGAAATGCAATTGCCGGTTCTCGGCTGAACTTTCCTTGCGCTGTCAGATCGTGAGGAAAGTACTGCCGAGAACAGGCAGTTGTTAGAGCAGGGATCGGCACCGATCATCAGGGCACTGATGATCAGTGCCCTGATGATCGGTGCCCAGCAGTGCCACCCACAAGTTCCACCTACTTGTGCCCAGTAGTGCGCCCACTATCTCCTCCCACCTGTGCCCAGCAGTGCGCCCCACTAGCTCCGCCCACCTGTGCCCAGCAGTGCATCCACCTGTGCCCAGCAGTGCACCCACCTGTGCCACCCAGCAGTGTCACACAAGTGTGCCCAGAAGTGCCACCTACCTGTGCCCAGCAGTGCCACCCACCTGTGCCCACCCACCTGTGCCCACCAGTGCCACCCACCTGTGCCCAACAGTGCCCATCAGTGCAGCCCAGCAGTGCTGCCAGTTAGTGGCACCAGTCAGTGCCCAGCGGTTGTGCCAGTCAGTGCCCAGCAGTGCTGCCAGTCAGTGCCCAGCAGCGCTGCCAGTCAGTGCCACCTATCAGTGCTGTCTATCAGTACCCATCATCAGTGTCACCTATCAGTGCTGCCTATCCTTGACACCTCATTAGTACTGCCTATCAGTGCCACCTATCCATGCCACCTCAGTGGTGCCTATCAGTGCCCTTCAGTGCTGCCTATTAGAGTCGCCTATCAGTGCCCATCAGAGCTGCCTCATCAACGCACATCAGTGAAGGAGAAAAATTTTATAATAGAAACAAAGAAACTTTTATTTTAAATTTTTTGCAATTTTTTGTTTATAGCGCCCAGCGGTGTAAAGCGCCCAGCGGTGATTAAATACCACCAAAAGAAAGCTCTATTTGTGAGAAAAAAATGATAAAAATTTCATATGGGTACAATCTTGCATGACCGCAATCTTTGTCAATCAAAGTGCAACAGCGCTAAAAGCTGAAAATTGGCCCGGTAAAGAAGGGGTATAAGTGCCCTGTAGGCAAGTGGTTAAAAATCAGCAGGCAGCTCTGAATGCTGATATGAAATCATCTTAAATTCATTATTAAACATTTTTTGCTTTTACTTAAAGGTATTGTTTTTCCACTTTCTGGTCAACTGAGGCAGTGGTGATGTAGCCAATGCCTCACAAATACATCCTGGGAAGGCTACATCACCTGTGCCTTCCCCCTCAGATGATGTACACAGTCACATGCCCAAGAAGGCAGAGCCAGTGTTCAAGGAAGTAAAGGGTGATAGATTCATCTGCCCTTGGTGAAAATGTCCACTCTCAGTAGAATGGAGATATAAGAAAAATAAGGTATGCACAAAATTAAAAGGGTGCAATTATATGTTTGTAGATTGCCAAACATTACTAAACATTTCTAAAGTAGCCTTTCTTGTGATTTTAGGATGGGGTGAAAATCCTCTTTAAGTCCTTATCTAGACAAAGTAACAAGCTTCCTGAGCAACAGGCATTATGAAGAGCGTGTACTGAACCTCCACAGAACCCCCACAGAATTGTTAAATTCCAACCATACACTGGTTTGAACTTACACAGGGCTAAGAATCCTGCCTCAGACCCCACAGTACAGATTGGTGATTGCTTGCTTAGGACCCTAAGGGTAAGTTTAGGCGTAGGGCTAGGGGGCAGTAAAATTGTGTGGGTTGAGGCACCTTTCAAGTACCCCCCAAATGCCCCCCCCCCTTAAACTGCAAAGGCAGTGGATGGGGGTGTTTACATTCTGTGGTTGTGATGCTTTGATCTCCACCCAGTAAAATTGTGTGGGTTGAGGCACCTTTCAAGTACCCCCCAAATGCCCCCTCCCCCTTAAACTGCAAAGGCAGTGGATGGTGGTGTTTACATTCTGTGGTTGTGATGCTTTGGTCTCCACTCAGTAAAATTGTGATGGTTGAGGCACCTTTCAAGTACCCCCCAAATGCTCCCCCCCTAAACTGCAAATGCAGTGGATGGGGTGTTTAAATTCTGTGGTTGTGATGCTTTGGTCTCCACTCAGTAAAATTGTGTGGGTTGAGGCACCTTTCAAGTACCCCCCAAATGCCCCCTCCCCCTTAAATTGCAAAGGCAGTGGATGGGGGTGTTTACATTCTGTGGTTGTGATGCTTTGTTCTCCACTCAGTAAAATTGTGATGGTTGAGGCACCTTTCAAGTACACCCCAAATGCCCACCCCCCCTAAACTGCAAAGGCAGCGGATGGTGGTGTTTACATTCTGTGGTTGTGATGCTTGGTCTCCACTCAGTAAAATTGTGTGAGGGTTGAGGCACCTTTCAAGTACCCCCCAAATGCTCCCCCCCTAAACTGCAAAGGCAGTGGATGGGGGTGTTTACATTCTGTGGCTTGTGATTCTTTGGTCTCCACTCAGTAAAATTGTGTGGGTTGAGGCACCTTTCAAGTACCCCCAAATGCCCCCTCCCCCTTAAACTGCAAAGGCAGTGGATGGTGGTGTTTACATGATGTGGCTGTGATGCTTTGGTTTGCGCCACATGTTGCGATCGGTGGGCAACAAGCCTGCCGAATGTGACCCATTCAAGGAAATGAGAAAGTGTCACAAATGTCCTGCAACCACTTGCAATGCATGCGGTTGTGGTGTGCTTGCTAGCAAAATGGGGTAAAACAGGTGATGAGGAGTCATATCGCCTCCTCACCACCAGACTATTGCCTCTGAAAAGTGATCTGAACTGGATAGCTCTTCAGAGGAGTGGGGGGTTTAGATGTAAAAATCTAGCCTAAACCAGTAAAATGAGGGTTTGTGATGGATTTGGTAAAATGCCTATTTGGTTTTCTGTTTAAAATATATATTTTATACATATTTACTTTTATACTTTTTAAATTTCTAAATATATGTGTTGTGCGTATATATATATATATATATATATATATATATATATATATTGTGGCAGTACAGTATCCTGCCACGGTGGAAATCATGATGGAGACCCAGGATTCTCAACCCTACAGGTTGAGGGGCTCCAGGCAGATCTCATAATGCAGAGGAAACTGGTTTATCAGTTTCCTCTTCGGTTTGTAAAGCCTGTTTTGGGACCTGTAGCCTGGAGATTTCTAAGAGAATTGGGAAGGATGAAATCTCCAATCCTGGGCCCATATTTTGGGAGCAGCCAGCGTGCTGATTGCACAGGTGTGTGCAGGCCTTTTAGGGGAGGCCAGGCCATGATTCTGGGCTCCACCCCGGCAGATAGGAGTCAGGAGGGCTCCACCAAGGAGAGGTGGAAGCCAAAAGCAGCAAGGAGCTGTTTGAGAATAGCTGTGTGCTAAAACAACCCTGTGGAAGAAGTCTGTAGGAGACAGATATAGAGCGGTATAGCTGAGAGAGAGCTTTGAGTATTGTTTACTTTGTGTGATGGTGGAAACCCCTGCGCGGGAAACCTTTATGTTACTGGACATTCTTTAAATAAAATTGGGCAAAAAGGCCCTTAAAAAGAAGCGAGTTGCTTTGTGCTTTGAAGAAGCTCTACCACTCTGAAGCGAAAATATATATATATATATATTTTTTTTTTGTGCTGGGCTTTGCAGTCCTCCTTAACTTGTTTTGCTCAGAGCGATGCTCTCAACCCCTCCCTTCGCACTGAGAGGACCTTATACTTAGACTTTGAGAATGTGAGGGGGAGTGAAAAAAAAAAGATAACGGGCGAGAAGCAAGCATCAAGTTTCTACATTTCTCCTATATTTCAGCCAAGCAAAATGTGCCTTTTAAAATGTGACTGTATTTAAGTGATAGTGACGTATACTCTATTGTTCTCTATGTATAAAAGGTTAAGCACCGCCCTGCAATAAACAGAGATGATGTGAAGGTGGTTGTACTGGACAGTTGTCTGTATAATTATTTTCCAGCGTGCACGCAATCCATATCTCAAAATTAGGAGCAGCAGCAGAAATCCTACCCTGAGCCCGATTGTGGTTCTCACAACCTTTTTAGCTGGCGCCCAATGTGGGGCCCAGGTTTTAACCTTTGGAAGTCCGCGTGAGGGACTGAGCGGCTGGCCGGGGGACAGACCAAAAGGGCCTGCGCAACCCTAAGTATGGTAGGTACTTTTTATACTTACCACTGTACGATTTGTTTCTGTCCAGTCTTAGCTGCCAGTTTTTGTCGGCTTCCAGAGGTCATCTAGAGCGGCAGGTAATTTTTATTTCTCGCCTGGGGCTGTTTCACGAACCTGCCATTAGATCTCTGCTGACTGTGTATTTGTTCAGTGTCTGTCGTCCTGTGCGACTGTGATAACTCAGTAGACTGAAAGATAAGTTGCAATGAGATTTCTGACCAGGTGAGCTGGTGGCCCCTGGAAGATGGAACCTTGCAACGAGTTGCAATGAGATTTCTGACCAGGTGAGCTGTTGGCCCCTGGAAGACGGAACCTTGCAACAAGCGTCTACGGACGGTGACTTGGGGTTGACAGTGTGGGAGACCCCTGAGGGTTTAGTTCAGCTGCTGAGGCTTCATGGAGCGAGGGGCGGCAGGTGTAATATCCTGTTCTGAGTGTATTTGTGGATTACTGTTTGTTCTGAGATAAGACAGAAAGCAGCGGAGTAGGGATATTAATCTAATAGTTGCCCGCGCTGCCTCTGAAACCGTTAGCTGAGACTACGGTGAAAGAACAGACAGAGGGAGAAGAGCTTGGATACCAGTCGAGTGACCCAGAGAGAGAATGGGGGAAGATGGGTCAGAAGATAGCCAAGCCACAGCAAGGATTGTTGGCATGTGATATTGTGAAGAGTAGAGAAGGAAATGAAGCAGTTAAAAAGTTATCTAAAGTAGCGAAAGTTTGTAAGCTGAAGGTCAACATTGCCCGACTTCAGCCAGAGGACTGGCGTAAATTATTGCAGGAACAGAGAGGAATGTTATGTGATAAAGGTTTGCTGAACGTAGCAGAAGCCTGGTACAAAACTGCAAAAGCGTTGCATAAAGAAGGATGGTTGGAAGAAATTCAAGAAAATGGCGATTGTATAATGTATGTGTATCACAAAATTGAAAATGGAAGTGTGCTACAACCACCGCCCTATGATGATAGAATTCAGAACAAAGGAGGCCAGGAACAGCCCTGCCCTTCATCTAACGCCCACTTTATGCCCACCACCCCAGCCCTGCCCAGTACACTTCCTGCTAGCAGCCATCTTGCTGCACCTGTATTGTCTCTTCCTGTCCAGCCCAGTGCACTTCCATCCGGCGGCCATCTTGGTACACCTGTAAGGCCTAAACAAGGCGTTTATCCAGTTCTCCCTGTTCTAAACCAGGATGACTCCTACCACACTCCCGTTTTCCCCAATATGGAAGTGTCACCTTCACAAGCCGGATACATGAATGACAAAAAAAAATAATAACACATGCAGCGCTACAAAAGGTTAATATATGTTGCATAAAAGATAATAAG